AAAAGGAGTGACTTTGTAGAATAAATGTCTATGAGCATCTTTGACTGGGCATAAATGTGTTGATGGTGGATATTTAGCATGCCGTCGACACAGTGACAGTGTGTGAGCAATAAGTGACAGGGGCTGCGAGCACGAGACGACCAAGATGGCTTCTGCCCTTTTGCTAATGAGCAGAGCTCCTCTGACTCACTGGCCAACATTGAGTGATCCATAGCCATGGCTCCTGAATGGAGTGTGAGCACAGTCTATTCTCCAGAGAGAGTGCAATCCGTCCCAGGTCTGAGCTGGAGACAGCTTCACGTGAGCCATGTCCAGCCACATGAATATATTCAGGAGCAACCTGCTGGAAGAGAGGACCTTACAGTGACGTACTGCAAAACAAACCGCATGACCTCACTTTTTGCAAACTGCATTTTCCTCTCGACACTTAAAGCTGATTATAAACGATTGAGAGTTTTTTGTAAGTCAAATTGACAGATAAAATGTCTCAATGACTCGGCAGAGCTCTGGAGAAATATCACTGGAGCATGATTTGCTGCTGCCCACATGGGAGACAAAAGCACTTGTACTGTCTCCACGCATCTCTAAAAAGGCCATTTGTCACTTGTCAAATTTCATGTTTTGTTTAAAGCTCTATCTTCAATCTCTTTTTTATCCTTCATTCCCCACAGTCCACTACCATAAAATCTGTTGGTGTCTAGTGAAGTGGCACTTAGAGTCTAAAAGCCCTCTTGCTTTTGATAAAGCATGTGAAGGGTGCATTATTATGTGTGCCCTGTTTTTTTATCTGGACAATTCTCACATAATGATCACATTCTTCAGATGTTCATTTCTTTTGCAAATGGCAATGGGCTGTGCTAAAATGAGTCTGGGCTGAGCAGTGTTTTATCATTTTGTTGAAATGATTTCCTCCAAACTAAACTGCAATTATCCAAATTCCACATCCATCCTACAGTGAGTATTCCCCATGGGAGTCAGTGTAGCTCTACATTGCTTAAGCTCAGAATCAGTCTAATTATGCACCATGTGCTCCTTGGACTAATTAACAGGGGATCAATAAAGGTCTAGGATGCCCCTCACAAAAGGGCCCAGAGCTCAGCCCCCTCATTACTGGAGCTTCACCAGGGCTTCAAAGAGGATTTCTCTAGCATTACCTGAGGCGCACAAGTTGGGCAAACCTCTGTCTTTTTCCTGGTGAGTCACTGGATAATATAATGTGAGAAAAAACATATAGGCCCAAGATAGTTGGATATCACCACTTTGGAAGCCCAGCAATAAACAGCATGCACAACCCAAATCCAATCACAGTAATGGTTCATCAAGTGCTCACTCTCATATTGGAGGGATGTATGTCTTCAGCAATTGTGTGGAAGTTGTGGAAGCCCTGAATGACATGGCCCAATGTTATAGCTAAAGTTGAGGAAGGGGCGACCTCTGGAAGGTCCAGCAGGAGCGTGCAGGTGCATACGTCACTCTGCTGTTAGCTGCTTCTGTCTCATGCATACAGTTAAAGTGGATGGGGTGAGATCTCAAGGACTCTTCTCTCTAAGGCCTGCTGTGTCCAGGCACCCAGCCAGGATTCCTCAGGCAACTTAATACGCCACTCCAAACTTCAGCTCAACTGAATGAAAAAAGGTTATTTTATGTTAAATAACCATCGGATGCCAATAATGTATATGCTGCACATATATTCTCAGGACACGAAGAACCATCTATCTGGCATGTCAAATAGCCCAAAGACTTTACTATCCCAAACACTCACAAATCAATACAACTCTGACCTTATCTATCAGCAAACTGAACCGGATCCCTCCTGTTCAGCTTATGGCACTAGGAAGCAGTAAGAGCAATCTACAAAGTGGCTAAGCTTGTCATGTGGATTATTTGTTTTGCATGAATGGCTTCATACATTTACCTGGCTACATTCCCTTTTATGAATATTTCTAGACATGCAATCAGAATTGTTACAGAGTGAGTAGTATTTATTATTTATATGAACAATATAAATCCTGTTTCGTTGCTCCCTGAAAAATCACTAATGGCCAGTGAAGAATGTTATAAGAATGTATGTAATGTTTAAGAGCTATAAATACCCAGGCAAAGTGTCAGCAGCTAATCACCTCCGATTTGTGCCAAAAAGGTGATAAGATTATTTTGCACTTTTTGTGTAGCAGAGCCTGCAGTGCTCTCACCTCGCCTGTGATGCAAACAGGATAACTTTGAGACGAGAGAAGTTAGTGCCCTGAGGCTCCAACATGAATGAACGTCCTCTCTCTCTTCCTGTGATTCATGTGCTCGATGGCAACCAGCTACTATGCGTTTGATGAAAAGGCGACATTGCCCTTCTGTAGAACATAATGCAAACCAAGGAGCAGCCTGTTACGTACAAGCTGACGTAATATTCATGTGGAAAAAGACCATGCACCCCTATGTGCAACTTCTAAATTCACAAACTTTACATTGTGCATTAGTGGAACTAGATATAATTAGGATTGAGTATATTCTCTACAAGCATATGTATCTTAATTACTGTGGCCACACCTGAAGGGAACATAATTAAAGGAGAAAAAAGATACTGAAGATGTGCCGTGACTTTACCTGTTATGACCAGATCAATTTGGATTTAAATGTTTAATAAAGTTCAGAATGGGGATAATCTCTGTAAATATGTGCGTTTACATTTTCTTTTTCAAATACATGCATCTTCCCAAGAGGACAAGGAGCAGTGCCTGAGCATGATGAATTATTGACACCATGGCAAACATGGTTCAGAATGGTCAGGACTAAACAGACACCTGTGCTACAGCTCTCCTCCTCTTCTATGACATCACATGCAACCTGTGAGCATTTGTAAGTATATCCTTCACTTCAGGAATAATGCAAAATCAATAATGAAATCCTTGTGTTATTTGATAGAGAAAGCTATGGTTATGTAGTTCTATGTACAGAAGAAGCACAGACGTATGCAATGCTCTAATATGAGGTTACATTCTATTTTTAAATGCTAGACTATTTCTATTTTATACAGTTTCAACTGAATTTAATCCTATCGTCTTAAAGGATATGGAGAAGTTTATCTTGTCAACATGCAACAAAGGGAGTGCCATAGCAAAGCAATGTAACTTTGGTCATGCTTTAAGTGAGAAGAACATATAAAGGAAATCCCTGATGTTGTGTGGTGGCAGCGCTAACAAGAGGACAGGCTCAAATTGGATGATTTTTAGAAACTATATGTCCACGTCACAGCGGACCTTATAGCCCCCTCTAAATCACCACAGGGACTTTGGGCCACTAATTACGCATTTCCTCCCTTCTCTAAACACAGCATCACTTGTGACCTTATCTTTGCGCCTGTCACCGTGTTAGCATTCACATGGCAAGTCTAGCGATGAATATAATTACTGCAGCCCAAAATAATAACACCAGCGTCTTTGAGCCACAAGCTGCATTCAGTAGTAATAAGAGACCCCCGCCCTTCCCCTGCCTGCTCCATGTCTCTGTCTAAATTAGTGGGGACAGGGACTAAAATAGAGTTATTATAATCCATGGTCTGGAAGAGAATCACATACATAGCCTATAGAATAAAGAACTGTGAAAAGTAACAGTTGGTTAAAAGATTAGGTGAAAAGATAAAAGTGTCACCGTCTTTGCCCACTATCCAAAAGATGCATCAGTCTGTGCTCTGATCGTGGCACATATTGTAATTGTGTCATTGAGCAGGACACTTTACCCACCTTAAATTTACTGATATAGGAGTGTGTGTGTGTGTGTGTGTGTGTGTGTGTGTGTGTGTGTGTGTGTGTGTGTGTGTGTGTGTGTGTGTGTGTGTGTGTGTGTGTGAGAGAGAGAGGTTCAGATTTGTGAATTTAACAACAACTGCATGGTATAGTACTTTTCTTATATATTCACTCTTTAGTCAGATTTGGGCATTATAAAACATAATTAGAATCTTTAGCAGAAACATTTGTGATGCTTAGTAGCCTGTGGTATTCTTCTTTTGGCAGTACCCATTTTATTAAACATCTACTTTAAGCTATTAGGGTATTATTACACTGAGCAGTGAATTTAGAATGTTCTCGAAGCATCTAAATGGTGGTGAGGTGAGGACAACATTGAACAGTGTAATTTAAATGATCATAATCAAATCTTTAGCACAAAGCCCACACTAATGAAGTCAATATGAAGACTAGTTGCCTAAATTATTGGTAGAATGTGTGAATATTGTAGCAACCATTATTGCAGGTTGCTACAATAATTTTGTGTTGCAGATTTTTTTGTCCACACAAGATTTGCCATACTGTGCAAAGTCAATACAAAGATGAAGAGAATTTAAGTGAAAAGAAAAATCATACTTATTCTTGATTTTAAAACTTTTCATCTAACTGCAAATGAAATTCTTTGATGGAGAAATAATAATTGTATATATATTTTTCTAAATTCAACACCCATTCAAAATCTCATGTTACTCACCGAAAGCGTTAAAAATCATAAATCTGGCAAAGTGTCTGTTTTTTATGCCTTTTGCCTACTCCTTTAGAAAGTTACTCCAGTTTAATTTGTAATTCATTTAGGGAAATCATAACTTTTGAAGGGCTGGAGGCCTTAACAAAGCATGTTTCATGTAGGCTAATTGAGTAAAAAAAATCCTCGGAAAATGCATCTTTTCTTTTTTCATATATTATATAAAAATAAGATAAATAAATAATTAAATCTTTTTTTAACCTTGTGCTAATGCAATCAAAAGTCCACCTACTGCATACCTTACCTACAAATCTGCACTCATTTTCACAGCAGCATGTATGAAGTAACTAGCATAGGTCCAAAACACAAAGATTCTCTTAGTTCCTTGTCCTCGTTATAAGACTACTTTTGTAAAAAACAATAAACACATTAGATTATTTGGCTTTAACAACTAAAATATTTAAACCAATGTCGACCTCCTGTGGTCGAGCCAGGAAATGTTTAAACTCGTAACCCGGAAGTCGTTGGCTAAAATGACATTCTGCTCCCCACGTGCGTTTGGTCTGTGGAGACAACATGGCAGCGAGCAGCGTAGAGGAGCTGTTAGCTAAAGCGGAGCAAGACGAAGCAGAAAAACTCAAAAGCATCACCGTAAAGAAAGACCTAGATTTGGAGTTTGACCTTGGTAACCTACTGGCATATGATCCGAACCGCGTGGAGCTGCGCCAACAGAACAGAGAGGAGTTTCTCAAAGCGCTGGCCCGAGACAACACTCAGCTGCTAATAAACGAGATATGGAAAATACCAACGGAGAGGGTTGAGGAGGCGATAGTGGCTAAACTACCCGACCCGACAACACCTTTGCCTAGAGAAAAGCCTCCACCTAAGCCCAAACCCCCGACGAAATGGGAGCAGTTCGCCAAGCTGAAGGGGATCCAGAAGAAAAAGAAGACCAATCTGGTTTGGGATGAAAATGCTAAGGAATGGAGGAGGCGATGGGGCTATAAAAGAGCCAATGATAACACTAAAGACTGGTTGATTGAGGTGCCCGACACGGCCGACCCAAATGAGGACCAGTTTGCCAAACGCGTAAAAGCCAAGAAGGAGCGCGTGGCCAAGAACGAGCTGAACAGGTTGAAGAACATTGCCAGGGCCCAGAAGATTAAGATACCAGCAGCAGGACTGACTCCCAAAGCGCAACAATCCAAAGATGAGCTGGCTCTGGCTGTTAGTGTGGCCAAAACATCCACAGCATCCGTGGGCAGATTTCAGGACCGACTACCCAAGGAAAAGGCCTCCAAAAAGAAAGGCGAGAAGAGGAAGTTTGAGCCTGTCATTGGAGACTTTTCAAATGAGAAACAGAAACAGCTGGACCTCCTTCAAATTATGGACAGCAAGAAGCCCAAGTTGGATGTGACCAAAGCTGTCAATAAGCAGATGAGAGAGGAGGACAGAGAAGCGGCTGCTGCTAAATATAAGAGGGGAGCTGGGAAGAAAGGACGCAGGGGGGGCATGCCAGGAAAAGGCAGGGGCCCAGGGGGCAAAGGTGGCAAAGGTGGTAAAGGTAAAGGGGGTAAAGCAGCAGCAGGAGGTGGGGGTGGGGGCAAGAGAAAAGGCAAACCTGGAAAGAAATGAATGTAGACTGACATTAATTCAGACTGCTTCTTTGTCACATGGACTGTACAAATATAAGTTCACACATGACTTTTCTGTCTTATGAATGAAATCTATAATTGTAAATACTGTCCCCAGCTTTTTGGTGATAATAAATGTCTTTAGTACATCTAATAGGCTACTGAGTTTTGGGCAATTGCATTGTTCTCTGCACTGGTGGTTCATGCATCCATTAAAATACATCACCCTCCATTCATTCATTCATCCATCCATCCATTTTCTTCCGCTTATCGGGGGACGGGTTGCAGGGCAGCAGCAGTCTAAGCAGGTACTCCCAGACTTTCTTCACTTCAGACACATTCTCCAGCTCTTCCAGGTGAACCCCAAGGTGTTCCCAGGCCAGCCGAGAGACACAGTCCCTCCAGCGTGTCCTGGGTCTTCCCCGGGCCTCCTCCCGGTAAAATATATCACTTCACAGCTAAATATGCATTAGATAGCAGTGAGTGAAATTACTGTCTCTCTTATTTACCAGAATCTTGTGTCAATGCTTAATTTCAGAATCTGCTCCCTTCCATGTCTTCCAAATTGGAACAAGAGCATTTTTTACATAACTGTAACACTGTTGTGTTTTGGGTCATTATAATCTCATTGTAATATTACTCATTGTATGTGGAGACATAACATCCCCCTTCTTCCAATAATTGTCTTGACAAATTAACAATTTCAGTTCTTAATTTTAAAAATGTAGTTAATTGCGCTCTTTGGCTTTTACGTATTGGGCAATGTGTACAAAAGTAGTTAATCCTCCCAACGTGGTGACAAATTGTGTAAGCACCAAAGGATTTGTTGTAGTTATAATAATACTCATTCATATCCAGTGGTGTATTTATCTAACTATAGTTTGTCCTAAGCAGCTTGGCAGTGTTGGCAGTGGAACTTTGTTTTGTAAGGTCACTTAAGAAACCTGTGGCATAATTTTTAATTGACTTTTATATTTGGGAGGATTGATTAATTTATTTGGGTCACAGGTATATTCTGACATGATTCCACAAACAGTATATAATCATATTTAATTGTCTATTATGAGATAGACCTATGTTTTTAGTTGTGCTTTTATTTGATGTGTCTAGACTCTTAAAATCTACTGGTATAAATTATCCCTTGATCCCAAAGTACAGGGTGTAAAAACTTAAAATTGATTTGTTAAAAATCCTGTTGATCAGAGGAATTCATTCACATACCCAAGTTGACAGTCCATCCCCATTGCACTTGAGCAGCATAGGAGAGATGTGCTATGGGACAAGAGAGGGGGGTAATGGGGGGGGGGCTTCATCACCATCTGTTGAGCTGTCCATCCCAAGCCATTTGTCTTTGTCCCTGCTCACCCAGGATACTTGAAAATGGGACACAGTCGATAACCCAAAATCAATCAGCCACTCATGACAAAGTTAAATGAAGAATTTGAATTCCCATTACGCGACTTGTGGCCCTCGCCTGTCGTTTCCCACATGTGACCAGATGGTGCCTTAACAAAAACTGTTCAAGCATGATATTATGGATGACAGTATATCATCCTTGGGAAATAGTGTTAATTTTTAAAATTGTAATTATAATGTAATAATTAAACAAAGTGTAGTTCCTCCATAATGACTGGTGCACTCTGGATGGACCTGCTCTTGTTTTTGTTGCTCTATTCTGCTGCAGTGGATTAGTCAGCCGCATTTATTTTAAGGCACTGCAGAAGGAGCAGAGAAGCCCTCAGTTCCTCAAGATGCAGCGTATCTACATGCACAGCAATGAGCACTTTGATGTCTTCACCACTGTCCTGGCTCCCCAAGGTAAGGTGAATTATAATGACTGCAGTGGAGCGTGGCGTAGCATGACATTACTGCATCATAAGGCTCCAGTGTTATGGCTCTGTCTAATCCTGAGGGGAAGTCTCAATCAACAATCTAGGAAAGCATTTTTAATTTATTCCTTTTTTTTATGCTTTTGCTTTTTCACAAACAGGAAGGTGTCAATTCAGAGCTGAAGCTGAAAAGGCAAGACAATTCTATATTGCACTTCTATGACACAATACAAATACATATGTAGCACAAACTGTATTACTTATATATTGCCAATTGTTAATCCATATGTAAATGAATTACCTAAACTATATTACCATGCTATTTAGGGTTGGTGCATTGCTGATGTAGTAAGTACTATGTAATTTATTCTCATGGACACATAAGAATACTTTGTCAGTTACAATCTATTTACAGGAGGGTCATTTAAGGAGGATGCATATAGGTTAAGATTTAGGGTTTCTATTTCACTAGACACTAGTTAATCTCTGAGATTTAAACCTTAATCCTCTCCATTCACTTGAGCCCTGGACTGAAAAGGCTACACTAATAATATAAGTAGTAGAAGTTGTATTTTTCAGAATCCATATGTCCAAAGTGATTCTCACCAATTAGCCCTCATTGAACTTGACATGTTATTGGTGAATTTGTAAATATTATGCGTCAATGTGTCATTTTCATACTGTCCACTAGATGGTGGCGATGTACAGCTACGAGCCCTACTGGCCAGAAGAGCTGCGGCTGACTCCTGGTGACGTGGTCCTGGTCCTGTTCAAACACGAGGAGGGGCGATGGTTTGGACGACTCCAGGACGGACAGAGGGGGTACTTCCCAGCTTCGTGTGTCATGGAGCTGAGCCAGGTTAGTGGTAGTGATGGTGGTCAGTGTCATAAAGTGAAGCACTGCAGCACTGAGGGATTATTACGGTGTCACTTCTGATTTATTACTGACTCCAGGTACATTTCAATACCAGTTAGGATTGTCAAATCTGCATTTGTGACTTAACATGAGTCTTGATTCATACTGTGTCTCTATAGCAGTTACTTATTGTTTATTTGGCACTTATTTGAATATGTGAATTTTAAGATTGATTTTGGTTTTACACAGCAAAAGCAAATCAACACATAATAATATATTTTTGGATAACTTTGAATTGAAATATAATATACAGAATAATCTTTGTTCAATTGTGATTCTGCACCAATAAAACAGCTAAATGAAGGTGTAATGATATAAAATTATATGGTATGTAATGATATATAAATAATAATAAATTAGTATTAAACACACCACAGCATTGTATTTGTTAAACATAAACATAAACACTACTGATAAGAAAAATGCTAATAATATTTTTTAATAATGTAGAATTTGATCAAAAATATTTACAATATATCAATAGTAATGATTATTGTAGTAATCACTATTAAATCTAACTAACTCTAACTATTACACTGACATTGCAATCTACACCTGCATTATGGTTAATAACAGCACATATTTAATTAGTAATTCTGCCTTTTCCAGTCAAAAAAACAGATCACAAGTCACAGAAGGACTGTGTCTCTGAGAAGCATGTTGGACGATGCAGGTGTTCAGAGGAGGCATCAAACGTAAGTCCTGCTACTAAAACAAATCTCCTACACGAAGTAGATGCATCATGTACACACAGCACTGAGCAGCTGTTCCAACATGGGACCCCACCTCCCCCCAAATCCCCATCCACTGCTCCGCCTTGTGCCTCTGAACAGGTGGCCCCTCCGTTCCCTCATTAGTTGACAATGCACTCTGATTACAACCCCCACCCATAACCCGCGCAGTACACCACGCACCGCTCTCATTAATAAAGGAGGGAAAGGAAACAGCTTAATGTTTACAAGAATTTAATGAGTAAATTGCAAAAAATAATCTAAGAAAAATGCATTTATTTAATTGTTACAATGTAATGCATACATTGTAAAAACAATGAACATTTATTGGCAATTCTTATGACAAATAGGTGAGATTTCAATATGATTGTTTTTATGACTTTTTATTAGTATTATTATAGATATATTTTAACATAAATGATCAAATGCTCGTAATGTGAGACTCCTAAAACAAATTGCAATGGCATTATATTTTATAAGGGTGCGCACTGCACACAGATCAAGCCACTTTGCTCAATAAGCTATACGGTGTAGTTGTAATAGAGGTACATGTTTGTTTGACAGTGTTCCAGTGAGTTTGCACACAGTGGCCTCTGTCCCGCTCCGCACTGGTCTCGCAGTGGAATTTGGGTCATGAGGAATAAACAGGGCTTTGTGTTTGTTATTTCCTCTTTGTCCCCAGTGGACACGTTCAGCATGCGCTCAGGAGGGGCAACAGGGCCGGAGGAGGGGCTTTGGACTGGGGCCAGACTGACAGCGAGGGTCCTGTCTCAGCTTCACACACCCAGCGGTCGCCCAGTCTTCTCTACAGGATCTTGTCCAAGTGCCGCAGGAAGAGCCAGTGCCAGGGAGCCACCAATAGGGCCTTTGAGGGTGACTAGACCCTCAAAGGTCTATGAGCAGCAGAATCATTTGTGTGGGTGTGCATGACTCCACACACCCTGATTCAGTTTGTAACCAAATTACGACTGCTGTAACATCACAAAAAAAAACCCCCCCAAAAAAAAACAACACACACACAGATGCACAGTATTCTTGATATTTTATTTTCATACATAAAATGCCACAAATTAGCAGTAACAACTATACAATGAAAAAGCATAGTGTTGTTTAAATATGTAATATTTATATTCTGTACATATGATTGTGTGTATAGAAGAATGCTTTTGTGTTAGTTTGTTTCCCTGAAACATTTTAGTGTTTGCCTATTGTAAAGAACAGAACTAAAAACAAAACCTAGATTTTCTGATTCTTTTCAAAGAATTACCTCACACATCCTTTGAACACACTGGGCCCCTCTCTTTCACTGCTGCTGCTGGAGAAATTGGGTGAAAGGAAGCAAGACTGAGGCCTAAACTTCTCCAAATGACCACGGACTGAGGCTGTTGCCATGAGCAACACTGGAGCAATGTACACAGCACTCTTTTCTTTTTCCTCTGTAGCGCTGCGCAGAGGGAGGGCTGGAGGTTAGCTCTCCCTAAAAAATATACACAAACTCTAATCCCAACCTTGGCCTTGACCTTTACTGGGAAACGCAGTGGGTTCTCACCCTGACTAGATTAGGTCTGTGGTTTAGTCCTTTGTGTGGAGCCTGTAGGGGGCAGTCACTCTGGGGCCAGAGCTGGGACACTTTCTTGCAGTGTGGAGAATGTTTATGAAGAGAGAGCACTCTGCTTGTCTGCCCCTAATCAAACTGTGATTGGCAAATTTATATCATGGATTTGTTGATGTATAATTTATGTTTAAGAGATACTGTGCAAGATACAATTGCCTTTTTTATGATAATGAAGTTGTACTGAAGGAGATATTGTTGAGGATGCGACCCACCATTCCCTTGAGCGTTCTATAAAAATCAGTCGCACAGATATGACAGTGATGAATTCAAACACTAGAGCTGTTTTCTTCCTATGAAGACATCTCTGTGTAGTATTGTTGTGAATCTCAGCTAGACTGGAGTCTCACTGACCTCACGTCTCGCAGCAACAAGTGGAAGCAGTGATCCTTCTAGTGCCGCCAGAGCAGGCTCAGAATGGCCCCGCGTAAAGTGTCCTCTCCTGCTGCAGGAGCTGCCTTTAGGGGCACAGGGAGGGGCGAGCTGCCTACCAGATGACTGTTCTGTCAGGCCTATAATGGGCTGACATCTGCTGTCTGCTAACACAAAAGCACAGGAGTGTGCATGCTCACTCAAGGATGGAGCAAGATATATTCAATTTAATATAAGCACTATATTTAATGTTCAGGACAAAAGGGTCAGTGGTTAAATAATTAGTTCCTTACTTCAATTTGAACATTGAAAAATCGCATTTGAAACATTGGCGCATGAATACATTCTACTTGCAATGCAATCAATTAAAAGGTTGAAGCTGCGCCTAATGAGACCATATTTGAACTTTTATGGTGCGTCCCTATCAGAACAATAGATGTATTTACACAAGAATGACTTTACTGAAAGAATATTGATTAAGTGAACATGGCAAACCATGTGTTTCTTGTGTGTATGTGCATATGCATTTACATTGCTGCTCCTTCAGCATAAGGCAAGTCATCATGTTGTGTCCTTCCCTCCATTTGGGGGCAATTGAATGAATGGGTGTGTAAAACCAACAGGCCTGAGGACAAAGGAGCCCGGGGGCATTAAGTCATGGGTGAGTGGGCCCCTTTAGGCCTGCAGCTGACCCTGTGGAGAGGGGCGAGAGGCGCTCGTGTCGCCGGACCCCAGGCCAAGTTAGCATCCTTACATTGACAAACATAGAAGGAGGTTGAGCTTTGAAGCACTTTATCTGCTCCTCATGACACTTGACTGGCTATAAAACCGAGCTTTGAATAATATTACTTTGAGACATAAAAAGAGGATGCATAAAATATACTGAAATGCATTTATTTTTGTACAATGTTACAAAGAAACTTGGATTTCCATTGTACCACAGTTATTCCAACTGCAAATGCTACAAAAGTGTTACACTTGTAATATGCCTTAATTAAATCCAGCATTTAGTGTATTGCTCAAGCATGATTATAGTAGTCTATGGCTGCAACTACTCTTGTGTATTACTTAATTCCTTCAACACCCACAATGCCATTGCCAAGTAATAACTTTTAAACTCATTGACTTTAACTCACAAATGGAATGTACAAAGATAAAAACATACAACTTACTGTATGATGAATTACAAAAATAATACAAAAAACTTCATCATCACATTGTGAGCAACACATACCTTGTTTACTTGGATTTCCCTTTTTACTCTCCTTCAGACAACATAATCGAAATTAAATGTAATAATACATTATCAAAGCCACACAGTTAATTTGCCATGAGCTGAAGTGTGTCGTGAAATGGTTACAAAATGGAAGCACTGATATTTTTTTAAACAAGGTAGTACTGGATGTAGGACGTAACAAACCAAGCAGCAGGATCTTAACAGCACAAACAATGTTACAATACAAACTAACACCGCACATCACAAACAGCTATATCCTCCTGTATAAACCATCAGATATGTACAATAAACAATAGATAAAAAGTGCAAATTGTCTATGATTAGAGGTCAGAATCAGAAATAGTCTTGCTATCTAATTGGACTAGTGTATGACTTAAGAAAAACAGGCCCTAACTAATTAAAATAATCATGAATGCAGAATAGAAACTTCTGTTTTATATCGACAGTGACTAACTCAGTGATGGAGTAAGGGAGGGAGACTATATAATTCTTAATATTTTTTCTTAAATCCTTTTTTAAAAAATAAATAAATTAGTAGACATTAAATAAATAACTGGACAGCCTTCAAAACAATGAACCCTTTCAGGACAAAATGCATTATAAAATTCTTCAATGTATTACTAATACCAGATAAAGTTGTAGTGTATGTAGATTTTAGGCTGTTTTGTCAGCAAAGTTAAACTTTTAAAAATGTATTATGTGTCTAATTTATATTAAAATCTAAGCTTTAGAGCTGTCAGATAATAAATAAATAAACAAACAAGGTACCCTTCAGTTTTTCCCGTCAAAATATGAAATACATTCAAACTAATGTCTGACTGAAACTATGGTTTTGTTGAAAAGTTGCACTGTTAAAAACATCATAGTCCATCACAAGTGCTATCCAGTTTCCAAATACACCGTTCTCAGCAGCAAAATATATTAGTAGTAGTAGTGCAACACCACCTATGTCCTATTAATCCCAAACATCTAAAAATCGTGCACATGCTCCTTACTTGTAAATAAGGCATTGCAAACCAGTAAGATGTGTCTAATAAGCAGTTTTCTGCAGCATTGGGAGTTTAGCAATGAATTTGAAGAGATGCATAATGAGTTTTTTTTTTTTTTTTTTACATTTAAAATATATTAACATTTAAAGTATACGTCAGTATCTACCTATCACTCACTAGTGCAGAATCTACCTGTCTATCTGTACAAAACTGTTATTGTAGTGAATTCTGTATTCAAAAGAAACCTTCAAAACACATCTATAATCACGAAATTTACCTGGGCAGTGACCTAGAAACATGCACAAGCACAATAACAGCAGCCATGCTTTTTGCAAATGTCCTTGACAGTGCATTTCTTGACTGGATTGTCTCTTACTGGACTCACTGTGTATGGGGACACTGAAGTGTGGACTGTTCAGAGCATGAGGGCTCTTGAGGTGTAGGGGTTCAGGTACTGGCGTGCCTGTTCTGTCAGAAGCAGCTGATCCTCAGTCTTTCCATAAACCACAGCTTCCCACTCATGCACCTGCACAGAAAAGCTTAAATTAGTCTGTGCTTTTTGACAAAGTTAAAATAATTGTTTGCTTTTAGTCACCTCGTTTAAAGTGTGTTTCTGTGTTTTCTGAGCTGCGGGGGACTTGAAATGATTTACAGGTAAAACAGAGGAATCCTCATCTAAGGAGTTCAAAGGTCGACTGCCCTCTTCCTCCTCTGTATTTGTAATCAACGATGAGCTTGTCAGTAAGCTGTCATCTGGCAACTAAAAAGGTTTATCATTATTTAACTTGTGTCCACTACTGTTTTAGCTACTCCAGTTACAAGACTAAGTCAACTTACTTGTGCAATGTTAAGCTGCTCTGGAAAGAGTTGTACATTTAGACAATCTTTTTCCCATGGATCGAGTACAAGGGACTTGCGCACCTTCCTAGCTGGAGCATCCAACTAAAAAATAAAACAATTATTATTAAGCATAACAAAAAAAACATTAGTATGAATTTACTTGCTATATGAATATATTTTCTTAAATTAGGTAAGTATTTACACTGTGTTTCCATGTTTGATAGTCTGCGTGGACATCTGTTTGGTTGAAAATGTCTGCTCCAGTCTCATGCTTCAGAACTTCCCGAATGTCTTCTTCAAGAAATGCCAGTGGCTGTGGCTAAAACAAGATAGAAAATAGATATAACAACAAAAGAATCCACAATATCTACACCAGTTATCTCAGGTATGTCAGCTCACCTCCATTTTGAGTGGACCATGCATTTTTTCCTGTGCAGCCAAAGCATTTTTAAAAGGTGTGGGCGTCCTGGGTGTGGGGATCATAACAGTCTTTCGAAATTTAGGAGTTCTGGATCTACAAAGTGTATCTCACATTAGTAAGTATTTAAATAATACAATCTGATCATTTACAGCTGCAGTGCATGTTACCCTTCATTTTCTTTCTCATGCTTAGGTGTGGTTTCTTTGTGTACAGGCGTGTTGAGGAGACATCTTTGACTGCACACAGGGGTTGATGTGAGAGACGGAGTATCCAGATACAAGTGCTCTGCTCCTAATATATTGCAAAACTAGAAACAAAACATCATATTAAGCCTAATGAATGGGTTACAGTTAAACATTAGGTAATGGAAAAATATGTACTTGTGATGGCGTAAATGGCAGGGACTTCGTAGGTGTTTTCTTGGGTGAATTTTGAATATTATCCAGGAAGGAGTTGCAGGTCCGTTCAGACAACGGTTCCCCTCTCTCTCTTTTCCTCCGTTTCCCAGAGGAAGTGTGAAGAGGTTTGGATGAGGTAATGGGCGTCAGAGATGTAGAGCTGCCAACTCCAAATGTGGTGGGGTCCTTGTTGCGTAAGCATAAGGCCGCCTGGGAGTCCACTGTGTAGCTCTCTGAAGTATCAACAGTCCTTTCCTGCAGCAGTGCTGTGTAGCCAGCCTGGTTGTGTCTGGGCAGTGTCTCAGTGTCTGACAACTCAAAGTTGGTCACGTCACTCCATGTAACCGGATCCTATAGTAAACAGTAAATATTTTCATTTTGGACACATCTAGAGCTGTATAACTTTATGTACACTCTTCTCATAAATATACCCGTTTAAACTAGACTTACAGAGTCAATAAGCTCCATTGTCTCAACAAACTCTGGTATGGTCTGCAAAGAAGAGAGTACAGTGCTGGCCTCCACAGCCAGGAACTTGCTTGGGGAGATGGGGGGATGCGCAGTGGGTTGTTGTGGGGTCTTGGGATCCCCCCATGACCTTCTCTCTGCTTGGTCCTCCAAGCTGCTACAACTGTCCGACCAGACTGCTGAGTACTGCTCTATATTCTGGGGCAAAAGGTGAGCATGTTAGCATTTTTTTCAGGTATTAAATTTATTTTATGGGAGAGTTAATATTAGAAATAAGATAAGAGATAAGATAGGATGTTAAATGAACAGACAGGATAATTATACGTGCAGTTTAAGATGAACGAAATGTCAGTGTAGAAAGAATGCTAGCTGAGCCACAGCACAGCCACTGAGGTAAAAAGGGAGAGGGTTTAACACTGAGACTGATCGTGGAGGGCAGATGCAGCTTTGAAGCACAAACCGGTGCAGTCTGCCTTGTGAGATGGGAGCCTAGTTACTATAGCAACACTACAGCAAATTGGACTACAAAAATGTTTTTTGTTTCACAACACACACTGTAAAAAGGAGTCAACACATAAATATACATTATTATACTTCCAATTGTAATGTTTAGTGATGCACTAAATAGTGTATAATAGTGAACTGGTTTGAGCAATTTAATAACAATCAGCTTTTTACAGTGTAAAAGGAAACTGAAAACAGGGTGTGCTAACTATGCTAACACACAACCACACTGCGCTCTTACACCAGGGCCTCTGCACTGCACTTGATGATGGACTTCACTTTCTGCTGACATAAGCAGCAGTTCAAGCTCCTTAATTCTTTTCTCTCTGTCAGGGTCATCCAGGCATGACGGCTATAACACATTTTAGAAGATTAAGAGGACAGCAGGAAAAAAATATAAGAAAACAGACAACATTGATTTTGACCAAATAAACCACATAGCAGAGTGCGACATAATTTGTCAATTAAAGTTAGATGAAAATTGCAGGACATTCAAGTTTTTGATTTGAAGTCCAATGTTAGCGATCACAAAGACACAACAAATTAGAAATAAAGAAAATGTAGATGTCTTTTCACATGAACTTACTGATAAGTATCCAGGATTATTTGTGTCCATCAAGTGCCCAGTGTGCGAATCAAAGGGGTAAGCACCAGTCTGAAATAAAACATTTCATTATTACTAAGTTGAGTTTTCCATCAAAGGAGGTTGTGTCTATGCTCTGACCTGGTTCTGTTGTACAGGGAGGGGGCTGGTGTCACTGCTCGGAGGCTCTGTGAGTGTAGAAGGACACTGTCTTTGGCGCCTCCTTCCAGTCTGACTAGAGCTTAAGCTCTTGGATCCCTCCTGCAGGTAGCCCTCATGCTCTACCTTCCTCCTCATGGTGGAGTTCCAGTGGTTCTTGATTGAGTTGTCTGTCCTGTTTGTTTTGTTTTTTCATTAGCTTTATAGTTTTTTTACATGATAGCATTAAAATGAAAAGAAATTACCTTCCAGGCAGGAGTTTAGATATTTCAGCCCAGCGGTTCCCTAATCGTTTGTGGGCCTCATAGATAATGCGATCCTCTTCTTGGGTCCATGAGGACTTCTTCACCTCTGGATTCAGATGGTTGTGCCATCGCTCGCGACACTGCTTTCCAATCCTTCCCTGGAGATGCTTTGCAATCACAGACCAGCGTTTGGGGCCATACTTGTGAACCAGGTCAATTACCTTCAGATGCATTAGAGAAGGGTTTAGGACAGAATATATATCTCTCTATATATTCTGGAGATTTCCTTAACATTATAACCATTATTCTATTTTCAAGTATTTACATCAAATAGAGCATAAAGCTTGCAAAGCCCCTATCATGTAGCAGTGTAGAACTGGAACTCCTGTCTCATCTTACCTTTTGATCCTCCTCTTTTGTCCAGGGTCCTTTCACCAGCTCTGGGTTGAGCACCTTCTGCCAGCGGTGCTGACACTGGCCATCTGTCCTCCCCTGTGACAGAGTCACACACATGAGGAGCCCACACCACAGCATGACAGTTTGGACTGCTCTGACTACATATACAAAATCTGGCACTGGGCCCAACTTCACATTACAACTATTGCCATGACCTCAGGTAGGTGAAGCTACAATACCTGTTTGTTTCATGGGGCACTTACAGAAAAGATGTTTGCTATTAATTTCCATGAGTCCGTTCCATGCTGCTCGACAAGTTTCTTCAGCTTTTCATCCTGGAACCAAATATGAGTGCACTGTTATCTGTGTTCATATGTTCCCTCCTTTTACAGTTGGTCACAGGCCTGAATAAAACCTTACCTCATCACGAGACCACTTCACTTTGCACAGGACCTTTTTATCTTTGTTCTTTTCTTTACTCTCTGGATCTGTGGAGTGCAGCTCTTCATCCTCGTCACTACTAAAATAAATACAAATACAGGGTTTAAGACTGTAAGTATCAAATTAACTCTGCTCATGCCTCATTTGCTGCAGTGGTCCATGGTGCACAGGAGGGAGGGGCGACATTTTGCTGGAAAAGAGGCCGCTTCTGTAAAGAGGTTCTTTCACATACAGAGGTATAGTTGTGAGGGAGTATTTTGGTAAGAGGCTAGGGTGTGGTCAGGAGAAGTGCAAAGTACTAACGGACCACATTCAAAAAACATCATTTTGTCAGAACACCCAATCAAAATGAACAAAACTGTAATCTGCACAGTGCATATGAGTCATGATGCTCCTGTGAAAACACAAGAGCATTTACTGTGAGATTGTTATATTGAATGATACAATTTCACAGTGGCCATAATAAATATTATCCACCATATGAATACAGAAAAAAGATCCATGGACACTACCATTTGATATGTTGCATTTCAATAATCACTGCCCTAAATATACCAAAATAAATGTCACATTAGGTATTTTACAGTGAAAGCATACATTTTTGGACTTTTGCATTGTGTTATATTAAATCCTATATCCACAAGAGTGTGTCTTTCAGTTATTACATAACATGTACTTTGACAATGGACTACGCGCTCCCACTGCCAGAACATTGTTCACACACCTTCGCTTATAATCTATCCAATGCGTAAAAGACAATTACCAAATTATGAGGACGGTCATATACCTGAATTATTACGTGATAATGAACATCCATTTGTTCTGTCATGTAGTGGATGATCAAAAACATGTTCTTTGATTCTCTGAAGCCGTGACAGGTGCACAGGGACACAAAATGTTCATAATATTATTTATTAAGTAGATTACTCGGACTTATCTCTGTATGCTGCATTTTTTTTAATGCTTCTGAATATAAAATACAAACAGAATACAGTAATAGAAATAGAATTTCGTCAATATTAGAAACCCACCTGCGCGACTTTAGGTGGTCCATGTTATTTGTGTAGATGATTTGGCCTTTTTGAACGTCGATCCTGTGTTTGGCAGCTCTTCAAAGTCCTTGTAAATGTCTTTATCCATAGAAACTGCTGGCAATCTTCGCTTAATTTTCCAGAAACACTGCAATCCAGGCTAGCTGCATGTTTTAGCCCGTCTCCATCTGCAGCTTACTGTATTCTGATCGTCAATCTTCATTAGCAGCAAAACGCCGTATCCTCTTATCAAAGAGCACTGTCCCTTTTCTCGCTCCTTTTTGAAAAGTAAAACACAAAATCTTGTAGCAAACGGTGCAGCTGAAGACTTATATTTAAAATCGAAAGCACATTCTTGTCACTGCTCGCTGCACAGAGCTTATGGTCCCGGGACTTTGCGTTTGTCCCTCAGCAGCAGCAGATAAATTTCGTCCATCCCGCCGATTCTGTGCGCAGGCGGCCTCGGCTCTGATTGGTTCAGAGCGCACGTCAGCAGGAGGGCGCAAGTTTAGTTTGATTGGTCACTTCCTGAAAGGGGTGGGACTTCATTCACTTGTCACGTGATGTCTATCCTTCAAAGCCTCTCAAAGCAACAATTTATTTATATACAGTTTAATTTATATTTTAATGGCCTCATGTTTATATTCTATGCGGTATTTTATTGAGTGTATCAGTATCTTTTTTGAAAATGTATTTAGATAAAACTCCAAAAGTTATTAGACCACAGTACATATAAAAGACAACCAAACATAAAAAAACAAACCAAATGGCATTCAGAATATATAAAATAAAATAATATAATATAGAAAATATATATCTATATAATTATTCTATAATTAGTTTGCGTAAGCCTGGTGCTCTAACACTATACTTGGGTTTTGGTGACACCTAGTGGACAGACATTTTTACTAAATATTTTTTTTTAATCGTGATGTCTCTTTCATGGTTGAGGTCGATATTTTAATAAATTTTCGTTTGAAGCTCTTTTCTGGGTTTGTAAATATAGGCAATATGATGAACTGAATGTGGTTGTACCTTGTAAGAGTTGACTATTTATGGCATTAAGTGTTTTTTCCCCTCAAGAGAAGCACATCATACAATGTAAGATCAATTAATTACTTCTTTACCAGTTTACCCGGCAGGTGTCGTCGTTGTTCTAGTTGTGTCGTGTTATGGGTCTTTTATAAAGTTAGACTGAGTTAGCCTGATGTCGAGAGAAAGACGTAACAATAAAACAAATCGTAGAATAATCCTTAAATTGTTATCATACATAGCATACTCATAATTTGGTATTTGTTGTTGTATTTTATTTGAACTCAAGATTATACTGTACCAACAAAAGTACATTATACTGTTTTTAAAAAACGACTACGCTAAAACGTGCTGACCTTTTATTGTGAAATTATCTTCCGGAAATGCATGGGCGCAGTCGTGTACTTTGACTGACACTGCAACAGTCACTTCAAGTCCCGTGACAAAATTCATGGGAACTTTCTTTTTACAGCGAGAAAGACTGATGTTTCCTGTTTCTTCCACTTCGTAAGCGCTTATGGACAGCGGTGAAATACTAGCAAAATATCCATCTGTATTTGACGTGTCAATTTCAACGGAATAAACTAAGTATTTTGGCTGTCTACAACGAAGAGTCTACGGCGTAGAGATGGAGAAAGATTGTTGAACACCGATTAGAATACAAAAAGGTACGTGATGTTCATGTCCACGTTTTTACGATTGTAACTCTGGCTCAGTGTCAGTAGATCACTAATGAAACCACTCAATAAATATTCAACCAAAATTGACAAAACAGATGCTGTTGGAGAATGGGAGAGCAACAAGTGGCTTCACTTCATCTCTTATATATTTTCACCTATCGTCTCAGATAACGCGTAATCTACAAATTTACAATGGATGATCATGTTGTTTTCTGTATGTCATAGTTTTCTCGTAGCTTTGTAGTTTACACAGAGGGATTATATGGGTTGGGCAGGGCTTGGTAAACCTCCGTGTTTAAATGTGTAGGTCCAGATATTATTAGGCCCTATAAGTCGTCCCTCCTCTGGCTTGGGAAATATTTTTCTTCTCCTTGGTTAAAGGTTTCCAGTAAACGCAACCACGTGACCTCTCTTCAAAATTTTAAATCCTGTCAATCAAGGTAAACAACGTGATCAAGTACAACATCCTGAAGATCAAGATAAACTGAGTTATTACTCATCAAAACAAGATAAAAACCTTTTTTGTTGTTGCACTCTTCTAACTTAAATTTAACCATTTAGGTTTTGTGTAGGCTTTCAGGTTTATTTGAACCACATTTATAATGGTGTTTGTTGTTTGTCATAAAATCTCGCTTGGGCTTGATGTTACAAATGACTAGAGAGACCTTTTCTTTTAATAATAGTCCCTCTTAAAACAAACTATATTTGATTTGGCATGATGGCTCTATGTGATCCCTGTCCCTCTTACATCTGGCATGTTTCTATAGGGAAGTAGTATCTGCATTTTGCACACTCGGCCTGTCTGCAGCTGACATGGCACTAAAGATGAGTTTTTCCATCGTTTGTCTTCCTGGTGTTTTACCACATTATACGTATTTGCATTACAGTTTTAGCAGTTTCCCTGTTTAAAGTCTGTAGATGTCCAGATGACCACAGTTGAAACTGTCGACATCCCTACACTCAGATGTCTTGACATGATCATACATATGGCCATTGCCCACACAGTGAGTACATAGCTGCCTTCAAGCAATGATTTGAACTAAGTTTGGTGTGGAGGTATGTGTTAGCTTATCTTTTTTCATGTTGCATCTTTAGTACTGGAACTGCCATTATGGTTCCTATTTGTATTATCTATATTATTATTAACATGTTCGCCAGTTTGGTATTGTCTGTTATTGGGTGTGGTGTCCTGCTGCATTCCAAATGAAGGAGTAGCATGCCAGCTCAAAATCTGAAGTTGTACAAGACAGTTATAGGTTATTTCCTAACTTGGACAGAAATATGTCAGGAATGTTATAGAGCAAGTCCTGTGCAGCAACATGTGCAATCCTTTAGCCTTAAAAACTGCTGCTTTAAAAAGTGGGCATCAATGAACATATCCGACTTCTTTATCAAAACAAAAGGATATCACTGACTGCTCCTTTTATAGTAGCATATACATAGTGCCAGTCATAGAAGATTAAGACCAAGATACTTGTCACATGTAATAAACAGTTGTAGTTGTAGCTGTACACAGTTTTTAAAAGCAATGCCTTTTTGCAGTCTTTGGTATGACTGAGCTAAATAATGTTATTGGGATGTGGCCAATAGACAGTCAGTTAATTTGGAGTGTGACGTATCTCCTTCAGACCTGGGCATTGTACAGCTCTCGAGCCACATATACCCCTCGGTTGACTCTAACCGGCCCATTTAAGATAATCTGGAATTACAAAATAAACATATTTTATCATTTTACCTCATGCATGGACTAAAGCTGCATTGCTTTTATTTTAGAGGTGTTTTTTAATGAAATTGTTTGTAAGGCAACCTCACGTTTTCATTGCTTAGTCATAACATATACTCCTACCAGTCTGACCAGCTTGACATAAAAATGCTATTTACTACTTTTTCTGAAGAAATATAATTAATATTATGCAGAGTTGAATTAAGCATTCTTGCTCGACCCTTCACAATATTTTCTGTGTCTCATGTGGCCCCATGGAAAAAAATTATTGCCCTCCCCTGGTCTAAAGTAATGACTTCAGTGAGAAAAAGTGAAAGTAACAAATGAATGGCTCTGAGTACAACAGCTTCCTGGTCAACAGAAATGACCTCAGCTCAAACAACGGACAAAAGACAATGCAGCAAATAGGGCCACGCTGTACCAAACATGACATGACCCTGCCTGTGTTGTGCAGTTTACTCATCTTTAAAAAGTAACTGAACATGCCCAGTTCAAGACAAAACCTTTCATTTTCTATAATTTAAAACACTTTCATACTTCTTTATTTATCTTATTCTTTTATATATTTATTTTTTGGGACGTGCAGTCCATCTCCAGGACATATCCTCTCTACCTATTGTGTGGGTCCAGCTTCAAAGAGGCGACTTAAAAATACTCTGACAGTAAGAAGTGTAAATGTCACGCACGCTGCATGTGTCCTTGTACAGTCACTGTGTGTGAAAGAATGTGGGCTTGAGTACTGAAGGGTTTTTGGAGGGTTGACTCTGATAGAAAATCTACAGGAAATCAAATGAACTCTGTGTAGGTTTGTATTAGTGGCTGCTACATGTCGGATGTCAGTTATCTCTGTCGAAATAACATGGCTGTGGATATGGATGTTATGTAATTTTAGTTAAAACATGAACTGAATTGGTGCTGATTGATGCACCACTATTTTTTTATTAATCCTTTAGTACATTTTACTCAAGGCAAAGAGTATATTAAGTCAATCTGAGTTTGAAGGTTTTTTGGAACAGCTTAGTTACTTTTATATTGTGGTAGTGCAGGAAGCAAAATCACAAGCTATCAAGCAAAATAATAATAAGAATAATAAGAATAATAATAATAAGAATAATTTATTATTATAAAAGTCACAATCTATCAAGCAAAATATAATAATAATAATAATAATAATATTTTATTTTTAGGAATTTTTGGTTGGCTCATTTAGAAACTAGTTGAGGGAAATTGGAGTGTGTTGGTCTTAAGATTTTGTACTACTACTTTCGATGACCGCAAAAACCCACACCACTGGAAAAATGTCATTCAGTTGAAGATTATACGCCCTTATTTATACACCATCAGTTAATTTTCACTTCCTTAATTCTCTGCATTGTTCTCTTTTTGTATGTCCAGCATCTGTCTGCAGAATGCGCAGGCCCTTTGTGAACCTGAATTAAGAACCCTGCTGTCTGTAGTTCAGCTCTTGTCCCCAAAAGATGGAGGAGCCGTCCAGCTTGCCCAGTGTCAGCATTCCCTGTCACGATGAGCAGAGGGACAAGAAAAAACGTTACACTGTATGTTAAAGTTTCAACTATAGGTTTTAGTAATCAGTAAGGATTATGTAATTAATATAACTTTTTTTTTGTCCATTTCAGGTTTACAAAGTGATAGTTAATGTTGGACAGCATGAGTGGTTTGTTTTCAGGCGGTATGCAGAATTTGATAAACTCTACAATATAGTAAGTTGTAATTTATTTTTTTAACATTTCATTGTTGATTTTGTCTTATTTATATTGAATTTGTACCTGAACAGTTACGAAGACAGTTCCCGACAGTGAACTTAAAGATACCTGCAAAAAGAATATTTGGGGACAATTTTGACCCAGGTAATGGTCATATACAAATTTATTAATGTTTCTTTTACATATGCTGACAAGTAACTTACATGATCTGTACTCAAATATCAGAATTCATCAGACAAAGAAGAGCTGGATTGCACGAGTTCATCAAGAAAATTGTTTCACATCCCAAGCTTTGTGACCAGTAAGATTTGCATCACATGTACTGTTTTCTCAGCTATGGTAGGGCTGCTTGGAAAATATGTATGTTTTTAGATTTGCTATATATGTATTATTATAATTTTTTTTTTTAATCAAGGTGCACATTTTAAATAACTTTCCACATTAACATTTGAGAGAAAGTAGATCAACAAGTACAAGAATTCAATGAATTTCAGAATAAGTTTGGAAAGATGTAAACTACAGGTACATAGCATACTTAGTGCTTTGGAAAGGATACTATACAATTCGATAATTGTGATGTTGTCTAGCGCAAATGTATGGTAAGCTGAATAGCTGACTCTTTAGTGAATTTGTGTTTCTTGTGAACTTTGCAGTCCAGACGTAAAGAGCTTCCTTTTGATGGACAGATTAAAGCGTTTTTCTTATGGCTCAGAGGATGAAGACGATAAGGTAATAGCATTTAAGTATTTTCTTTGTGAACTCTTTGAACTCTGAATGACTCATCACAACAATGTCTCTTCTACAGAACAATTCTACCTCTAGAAACATTAACCTGGGACCATCTGGAAATCCACAGTATGTCCGACTGTAGTTAAGTATTTCCTGACCTTTTGGGGTCCATCTTAAAGTGTTTTATTTTTAATTTCAGAGCGAAACCGACAGACTTTGACTTTTTAAAAGTCATAGGTAAAGGGAGTTTTGGAAAGGTATGTAAAAGTTATGTTCATCTTCTTACAGCTGTTAGATGATAATGGATGTATCTTAGAGCAATTTCATTGTTTAGACTGAGACTTGAAAAAAAATAACAAGCTTTACCAGGGTTGTTTTATTTACATTGGCCAATTTTCTCTCCTGTACAGGTTTTCCTTGCAAAAAGGAAGCATGATGAAAAGTATTATGCAGTTAAAGTGTTACAGAAAAAAGTAATACTTAACCGAAAAGAAGTTAGTCTGATTTTTAATCATTGTCTTATATTTCTCATTATAATTATAAAACCTATATAATTCTGATTTGTCTTCTGTTTTTTCAAATCAGCAAAAACATATCATGGCAGAGCGCAACGTACTGCTGAAGAATGTCAAACACCCCTTTCTGGTGGGGCTCCATTATTCCTTTCAGACCACAGACAAGTTATACTTTGTGTTGGATTTTATCAATGGAGGAGAAGTGAGTACTCCCAGTTTGATAAATAAGCTACTCGTGTTGCATTAAATCACAAGGTTAAGATGAGCTCTTCCCAGATTTGTGTTTATCAAAAAATGATAACATTGATCAAACTCTGAGTCATGTCTAAATGAATTATCTGTGGCTTTGAATGTCAGTGTGTGCAACTGTGAAAGTGACAAACTTAGCTGAAATGTCATTTGACTCATCCAAAAATATTATCGTCACGCACAGTTTTAGATGGACAAAAACTAATCTGCAACATAATTTTTCACTACAGCTGTTCTTCCATCTACAAAAAGAGAGGACCTTCCCAGAACCCAGGGCAAGATTTTACATTGCAGAGATGGCAAGTGCTCTGGGATATCTGCACTCTGTAAATATTGTATACAGGTATGTCAATATTTAGCCCTGTCACGATAAAAACAATGGAAGTGCGATATATTGCTAAAGTAAATTTAGACGATAAATGATAAAATTCAAACCAAACCAAAAAGCATAATTATCCACAAAAAGCCTTCTAAATGTAAAATAGTGTTAAATATTGTTGACCTGTACAAATAAATAGCAGAATGCAATGCTTAAATAATTAGTTTGTGTAATTTTTGTTCATAGTTCAGTCTTCTACATCTCACTGTACACATGAATCCACATTTACTTATTCACTGTCTATGATAAGAATGTCTTTCATTTTCTCTTGCTTATGTTATTGAATTGTTTTCTTTACAGAGACTTGAAGCCAGAAAACATTCTTCTAGACCATGAAGTAAGCACTGTTTTTATGCCAAATTAACACAAGTGATAGATGTTGTCATTCACTTACTGCACAATTACTTCTGTGTACAATCTGTTTATGTCAATTAATCTGAACCATGAATCAGTGCCTCAAGTCAACATTTAATTTCATTTACCCTCTCTTAGTTTAGCAATTAGACACAACGTGCTGCTAATTAAGTTGTTTTTTGCTAACGATTTACTTGCCTGTGCTTGTGAGGCATTAGTGAACGGGGCTAGCTGGACTGTGCTGTAGCCAACATTCCTGGGCAACAATACAACCTCACTGCCTGGGCATAATGGGCTGCTTGTGTGGCATATGCTGACTTAAAAAAATCTCTTTTTCCTCTCTCTTCAGGGACATATAGTTTTGACAGACTTTGGACTGTGCAAAGAGGGCATTTCTCAAACTGATACCACTACGACATTTTGTGGAACACCTGAGGTAATGCAGTGTAGCAATGATTTTTGGTTATGGGTGCTGTCTGCTGTCTAATACTAATAAATGGTAGTTATGCAATTGTTATAAGTAAGTTTCTATCTGCAGTACTTGGCTCCAGAGGTCTTGAGGAAACAGGCATATGATAATACAGTAGACTGGTGGTGTCTGGGGTCAGTACTGTATGAGATGCTTTATGGCCTGGTGAGTCTGACAAATGTACATTTTTGTTGTAAAATGTTTTTTGTTCTTTTCTAATGTGGTGTGTTTCTGCACAGCCTCCATTCTACAGCAGGGACACACATGAAATGTATGACAACATCCTGCACAAACCGTTGGTGATGCGTTCAGGTGCCTCCCACTCGGCCTGGACTCTACTGCAGGGCTTGTTGGAAAAAGACAATACACTCAGACTAGGATGCAAGGATGATTTTGTAAGTGGTGCAATGTTGTAATTTGGTGCCCCCTTGTGGACAAATCGTGTAGTGTTTTTTTTTCTTATTACTCAGAACATTTGTGTGTGTTTTTTTTAGAATGAAATTAAGGAGCACGACTTTTTCATTAGTATAAACTGGGATGAGCTTGAACAAAAGAAGATTCCTCCTCCATTTACACCTAAAGTGGTAAATATTTTTGTCTTCTGTCATTGGTGTGCATTGTGCAATGTATTTCAAATGTTTCCCCTTCACATAATCACAATGTACCTGTTTGTCGTCACAGAGTTGCCCTGGCGACATCTCAAACTTTGACACAGAATTCACGGATGAAATGGTGCCTAACTCCATTTGCTGGTCCCAAGATCATTCCAAAGTGAATGCCAGTGTTATGGAAGCAGACGATGCCTTTGTGGGATTCTCATACGCCCCTCCATCTGATGACTCTTTCTTATGAGACAAAACTCTATCCAACTCTCATAACTAAAGGGAACATTTTAAACTATGGACAGTTTTTCCTCTGTGAAACCAAAGCTTCCAGCCAAATGATTGGTTGAGACAAACTGTATCAGAGAGGTTTTATCAATTTATATTTATAGATACATGTATAAACAAAAAAAAATCTTATAACCATTATTGTCACCCGCTATTAAAACATTTATTTTTATTTAGGCCTTATAAATAGCCTAACTATTTCTGGTAAACTTGAAAGTGAACATTCCTATTATGTGGAGTTATATCCATGCTAATACTGTAAAAACTGGGATACTGGGCCTACTTCAGATGCGTCTGGTTTGAGCACAATGTTTCATAGGTCATTTATGTAGAATAATCTTGATATTTGTTGCCTCAGTGCATTTATTACAAATAGAAAAATAACAAATACACTTTTATTGTATGTTGTTGGACAAAAATAAATCACATTAAAAAATCTGATATTCTCCTCTCTTCTATAAGTAAATGAGGGTTGTTTTCTCGTTTTAAATTTAGACATTTCACTAATATGAATGTGTACGTAAGGTAACTTGATGTGTTCTAATCTTGTCCATGTCATATTTAACACATTTTCTACAGTTTGAAGTGATCTGATCCATGGGTCTGGTCCATGGATCAGATCGGGTGGTCATCGTCGCGAGGAAGAGTCCAAAAGCGCGCGGTTCTGGCAGGGCACGCGCGCGAGGAAAGGCTAGACGCAACTCTTTGAGCACTATTTTACAGTTCAGTGCATTAAAATGTCGGAGTTGGATATATTTTCCCTGAGAGAGTCTGTTTTAGTGTATTTAGACAGAAGTGGTGGTCTTGAGAAACTCTCCGAAGACTGTAAACAATATAACGGTAAATGATGTGTTGTGTTAGCTTACTAACGTCATGTTTTTCTGACTGTGCTAATGCTACTTGATGTTTTCTAAAACATTTTCAGACCAGCAACAAGATGTGGCAGTGTACAGATTCTGTATTTGTGTAAATCCTTCTGACGTAATTGAGGTGGATCCAGAGCTGGGTGACTTTGTCCTGCATGATCCTTTAAAAGCTACTAAACTATTTCAGTCTGTAAGTGATCACAGTCCTTTAATCTGTTTTGACTTTAAAGTAACTTGCATCCATGTTGTTTAGGTTTGCTACCTTGCAATAAAGACACTAACATTACTGGACAAAATACACACCGAAAACCAGGTAGCCTGTAGGACATAAATCTTGTCACCTATAAATAAATAATAATAATAATAATAGACTCTCATGCTAATATCTAGGTATGTTTCTTTTCAGATAAATACCATTCTCAGGTTTACTCATTTACCTCCCTTTCCTGAGTACACATTGGATCTTTGTACCTTTCCTCGTGGAAATGTTCTTTTAAAGCCAGTTTTTGTAGAAGGACTTGTCATTGCTTTAACCAGGGTCACCAAGTATACCCAAGGGGCCCGCTTCCTCTGCATGAATGATGACTGCACCTGCTCCTCTGGTCATTTGGTCTTTTAAACCATCTACTTCACTTCCTCACCAAACATCATGTTTTAACCCTGAATTTCTTCCCTTGATACCTTTAGGATACCGCCACATAAGAGTTCATGCTCCTGGGGCTACAGAGTCGGCCACGGTTAGGAAAGATTTCAGTTGCAAGGTCTGCAATTCCCAACTGAAAGAGGACATGAAATTCCGGGTGTTGGGAGGTGTGAGTTAGTGGAACGTGTAATTTATAAGACAAATATGTTGCTACATTTGTGCTACATTTTTCTGTATTTCTTTTGAGGACAGACAAACAGTTGGTGAAGCTGGTTCCTTATAAAGCACTTGATCTCCTCAGGGGACCTCAGCAAACCTCACTGAGATACCAGTCAGTCACCCTTTTTCTCAGAGGTGAGGTACAGTATACACAAATTATTAATATGAATTAATAATTTGTTCAGTCACTCTATAAATTTTTTTTTAAATTTATTTATTTTGTCTGTTGGCTATACCTTTCACTAATTTTATTAATTTGTCAATCTTGGTCTTACAATATTTGAATTGTTATCAAGACTAAATGGTTTTAACAGTAATTAAACTGTGGTCACGCATACATAATGTTCATAATGTAAACAATTTTCTAATGTTTTATAACAGATTTGTAAGTTACTGTACTGTTTGTAGCCATACACTAGTATTTCTGTTTCTCTCAAAACATTGTTGGGTCGAGACCCATGAGATCCTGGCATATCTCAGCACCGGATTAACATTCTGTTGACCTAGTCCTGTAGCGGAATTCGATACTGTGGGTTTTTGTTACTAAATATATATGTTAATAAGTGCAAGAAACACTCATTAGTTAAATCTGCCACTCAAACACAGAGAAATCTTTGTTCACACATGCTCACTCTGTTTTTCTTGGCAATGGCATGCAGTTGGCATGTATGTTTCTTCAACAATCACCATGAACGAAGGAACTACTCCTTGGAGTAATATATTATTTTGTATTCATATAGATGAGCTGTGTAACTCAATGGGAATTGGTCAAACATACACAGTGCTAGGCATTCCTGCGCATGTGCATCAGTGGCCTCACATCACCTGGAGCATCGAGGCAAACAACATCCAGCTATGGGAGCCTGAGTGTAAACCACTAACATGAAAATAGAGAAAAGTACACCGACTTATCTCAGCTCATGCTGATACTCATTTGCAGGTTCATCTAAAGTGAGTGCTAAGTTCCTGGAGCTACAGAAGACCACGGCCTGCTCACCTTGGAGATTTTCTGCCATTGCAGCTCACTGCTTTGGGTCAGACATAACTCCACCAGGCCTGTACAACTCCTTAAAACTCTGTCTGTTGCTCAGCTTAGTGCAAACTACATCTGATTCAAAGGAAATGTTCCACAACCTGGACATCCTTGTGTGCACCAATGACTCTCTGATATTAGATCGGTACTAACACAGCTACTCTGTACCTAAGGGTAATTCTGCTTTGTATGTATTAACCGAAATACTGTTTTTGGTAGACTCATGACGTACAGTCTGGGCTTGGCTAAGAGAGGGGTCAGACATCAGTCTTCAGGAGAAATGTTTGCGTCTTTATCCCGAGATGAACACGGAGCAGGCACAGCTGACATCCACGCCGGCTCTGCTCTGCTTGCCACAGGGGGCATCTGCATGTTAGGAGAACTAGGCTGCTACAAAAAGGACAAACTTGAGGCCATTCAGACAGGTGACTCATTTATTTTTAACGTTCATGTTCAGTTAATAATTGTAACAAATGGGAATAATTTAGCACATTTGTTATCAGTCTTGGAGGGCCGGACAGTGTCTGTATTTATACCTGGTAAGAAGTATGGAGAGGATGCAGACCAACAGCTTTCCTTTCCTCTACGGTGCAGCTTTTGGGCTCTGATTGACACTGCAGATGCTTCTCGCCGATCAAACAGGACAGAGTGTGCTCTGCTTGGAACAGCAGTAAGTCCAGTCACAATGAAGACATTTTCACTTGAATTGTGGAAAATTCCCACATTTGAACTTGTACAGGATCTAGAGCCAGTACAAATGAAACTAGCAGATGCATTTGGCCTGGTCATTCAGTGCAGAGATGTTGGAGAGCAGGGCCTGCTTTGTCACACTGCTCACGCCCTTCAGCATGCTGTACAACTAGGAGCGTGCCTTTATACCTCCTGCATGACTTTTTCCACACAGGACTACCAAGAGGTTTATTAATTAAAAATACTTTGAATCTCAAATGTACACAATGTGTATAGTGCACACATATTTGTAATGTACATCCTTTTAAGGATGTTACAATCCAAGAATAAAGAATAATTGTTTCTTCTTTAGCTTGTTGCTCAGGCTCGAATGTTACAAGTTGAGCTCAGCCCTAGAGCAGAAAAGATTATTCATGGATATTACATGGCAAGTCGCAGAGTACGGACACAAACTCAAGGTGTCAAAATGTCTGTGGCCTCCATCAGACTACTGTAAGTAACAATGCACCACAACGGTTTTAATTAAAACATTAGTTTATTTTGGAATTTGAAAAAACTAGGATCTCCTTAGCAGAGGCCCACTGCAAGCTGTCCCTCAGAACTCAAGTACTGGAGGAAGACGCCATCATCGCTGTGCTCCTGTGTGAAAACTCAGTCACTCTGAAACATGGTAGAAGTATACTCCACTTTCATAGATTTATTAAAATGACAATTTCAAGACATTTTACACTGCAGGAACATCTCCACTGGTTCTCCTCCCGGATGCACTGTTTCCCTGTGACGTGACTGATTGTGACAGTTTGCACCGGAGAGACTTGATGCTGGATGAGCTGCACCAGAACATACTGCGGTTCATCTATGCTTACGCTCCGGGGGCAGACTCGTACATCACAGAAGAATAATGCAGGTGGGCAGCACAGGGACCATGAATCGATTCACTCCACACTATGTTTAGGACCCCCCTGTAGTAAATAATGCAAATGTGAATGTACATTTAAGTTTCCTTTACAAAGGATGAATAGTTATGAAATTATCCATTAGCTGCCAAGTCAGTCGTCACAACATCACCATTATATATTGTCTGACGGGTAAACGGCAAAAATGTGAACTCATCATAATCTCAGCAGCTCATATGCAGTTACATTGCATTTTATAGAGATGATACATTTAGAGCACGGATATTTTTTTTAAATATTAGGTTAAACTTACTTGTGAACTGATAACATCCTTGCCACTGCCTCTGGTATCTGAAAGATTTTACACAATTAATAAAAATAAATGCTTCATTATTAGATCAAGTCAGCAGTCAGCTTTCAGTAGTCACAGTATCACCACACATTTGTCTGATGGGTAAACGGCAAAAATGTGAGCTCATCACAAGCTCATCAACTTTATACAATGCAAGGATGAAGTCACTCACTGTTGAATATGCCCAGACTTTGTTGGCTTTACAGTGCCGCTGCTTCAGGATCCCATCTGTATTGACAATGCATGAAATCAATACATCTCACAATACAGTATAGAGAAGACCTAATTTTATATAAACTTATTTCAGATATGACAGTTTCACCATTTTGTGTCTGATGGGTAAACGGCAAAAATGTGAACTCATCACCATCTTGGCATCCAAAATGTACACATGTAGAGAACTGGTAACTTACCACTCCATCAGGCAATGATCTCTAGGACAAGAGGAAAATCATTTAAATATAGGCAACTACCAAAACATTTGACTGAGGTTAAAAGGTACAGTCAATTTACCTTATTATCCGGTATCCAACTTCATCTGAAGCATCGAGGACAAATCTAAAAATGAAATTAATACGCTTTAATAGAATTCAATAACTTACATCTTGAGAGACTTATTGATTATAATTCTTACTACTCGAATAAGATGTACTGAAAGGATAGTCAATATGGTGATCACAGATGAGTGATCACCTAAAGGTCAAAGAGTACAGTAACACCGCCTGGTAGCTCCGCGAACACCGCAGGTCTAAGGACGGGTTCAACAGCAGGTCACGACCTCTGCCACGTCCCACAAGAGGAGCGCGTTGCTTTATGCGCCTAAAGAATTGAACAATTCCCTGACCAGCTCATCAGCTGACCTCTGGACAAAAACAGGTATGGACAGTGGCATAAAGGGCGTCATTTCATCCTGTCCAGAAATGATTTATTACAGTTAAGCCCACCCAATCCCCTGCGCATCTGTTGCGTTATTGAACCTCCAAAACTGATATTATATCAGAAAGTAATCCGGCAGATAACCATTATCTTATTGCACGATGTTTGTCATCGTTAGAAGTTTAACAGAAAAGTTTATTCTGTATGCATCTCAACCCTGCTCAATCACTCAGGTTACACACGTGGTCAGCGGCTAGCTTCTAGCCCCCACGCTTATTTACGACATCCAATTCGAATTTGCAATTGCAAACTAAAATATCGACCACATTAACTCTAAAAATACAAATTTCCTTACCACATATCGGTTTGTTTGTACAGAGAACAGTCATCATTCTGTAGATTTTAACAGAACAGAAAGCTGCTCCTGCGGCGCACACCATACTCTTTCTGCTCCGTCCGCGAAGAGAGAGCGCTCTTCCGGCTGCGCGTTAAAGCTGCGCGCGATCTCTGTGCACAGCTGGAACTAAACTCAGTTTATCATGTTTGTTTGTTTGTTTTCTCATTTTAATCTTGGAATGTTTATTATTTCTCAATTGAGTTATATTTAGGCCTATATTTTTCCGGAATCTTGCATAATACTTAATATAATAATAATAATAATAATAATAATAATAATAATAATAATAATAATAATAATAACTTCTTCTTTTTTTCAGACATTATGTATAAGTACTGCATTCTGTGTATTGTATTTATGGAAACTGTACGTTGTGGTAAACAGTTAGTTTAATCACATTTATTCAACACATTTACAACAATGCGTGTAAAAATTCAGGGGAACATGAGATGAAGAGCCCTCATTGTTGGCTCTCTGACAGACCACTTCACATGACAGATGTTAGGTTATTCATACATACATTTAGTGCAAATGTTTCAACTGAAAGTGCACACCTCAACCATGACGGGCTCATTAGCCCATGGAATTTCTACAAATATCACACCTGGAACATGTAGGGAACTGCACAACGCAACGCAAAAAGTTCAACGAAAAACACAAGCATCAAATGTTTCAACCAGCATTCACTTAATATAATAATTTACAATAAAGGCATATTATCAGCGGATGCTATTAAGTTTAGAATTGATGTCCCTCAAACACATGTTGCTGTCACAGTTCTCAGCATGAAATCATGCAGTTATTTAATTAAATAAGCCGAGAATGTTATTGGGAGGTTGACGACGATGGGCCTTGATTTTCCGATTCTGATGGGTTTTTAGTGTTTAGAAATTGTCCCGATGCTCCAACATACAGCCGGGACCTCATTGGCCATTTCTGAAAAGATCAAAGAGAATAATATTAAATTATATATGTCTTTGAGATAAGCTGTATATAATAACGCTCAAATATATATTGCCCAGCTTTTCCTCTTAAAATGCATTCCTGTATTAAAACTGACCTTGACAGGGTGCAGATAGCCTTCACCTTTCAAAGACTGTAATGCTTCTGTTTGTTTTGTGCTGTCTCCCTCCTCAGCGCCTTCCTCTTGGAGTGTCCGCGTCAAATGGGCAATGTATGTGGTGGCTAGAATCAGTACATCCAATTTTGACAACTTGGTGTCGGGTGGCACAGACGGCAACGTCCTTTGTAGTTCCAGAAATGCATTTCTCAAAGTCTGCACTCGGCTTCGTTCACGCGCCGCGTTCGCTGCCGCAGGCCGCCCCCGTCCACTCAGTGGCCCGGACTGTAGCGCCCTGGCCCGCTGCAACTCGCGGCGGCGGCCGTCTGGACTGGGGCTGGAGCTCGGACTGGACGATGGGCTGTCATCAACCACTACCCCGGAGCAAGTACCGCTGTCCATCTGGATGGTCTGTCTGCCAACCATCGCCTACTGACCTGAACCAGTAAAGCACACACACCACATGAGTTTTACGGATTTTTAACTTGGCGTACCTTTGAAATAAATCTAAAATAATTTAGGACATATGCATTATTTTATTTGATCATATCTATTTATTTTGTAATTTGATGTTTATAAAAAGTTATCAGTAAGTTACATACAATACATTTTCTTCAGGAACTACTATTTTACCGTAAAATACTCTTACCTGTAACAGTTTGTTCTGTCCTTACAAACAACATGAAAGCTGTTAATTCTTTCCTAAAAACAATTAATTTGTCTTTTTTGTTGAAAAATAGTTGTCACGGTTCCACTGGAGCCGAATAAAGTGTTGCGTCTCCAGAAGAGATGTTCCCAAGTTCCAGTTCGAGTATCCAACTGTTCACCTGTGAGCTCACGTCTCGAGAGCCTTTAATTTATTGGTTACACGGAGCGATGTATAAGCGTTTTAGTTCGACGTAATAAATCACGTTATGTCTACTCTACACTTGCACTAAAGACACTACGCAACTTCTCTCGGTGCGATGGCAGCAGAGAGTCATTTCTAAAGCCAGAGGCAGGACTTTACGCACAGTGATTGGGCGGCCCACTCTAATTGGTTGCAAACATGACAATTCATTTGCACCGGCCTATCAAAGAGTAGCAATAAAGGGGGGATTTGGTCTAAACTTGCCCGTAAATGTGTTCGTCACATCTATCTAAATCAAAATGCTATTTGCAACTGACCATGAAGACAAACTGACATGCGTAAAGCGATATGCAAAACATTTGACTAATTGCCAAGGTGTCTTGAATTGCAAGGTCTTTGGAACAGCTAATAAATAAAGTCCAGATTTGCAATCAACAGGCAGCCATTGAGGAAATTCTTGTGAGCCTCATAAATTAATCACTCTGATTTTCATGGCACCAAACGGAGATGTCGGCAAATTAATGAATGGGATTATTCAGAATATGTATATCCTCAGACTGTTCTTATTAAATGTTGTTTGTGTAAGGATGGGGTAACACTATTGCTCCCGGCCACTAATTATAAGGCAAGGCTGCAGAATAGGGTTAAATAAGCTTGTTTCCCTAATTACCCTATATCTTTCAGGGGTTATGCAACCATGCGGCTCCCCAAACTCATTCAAACATACCATGGTAATTAGAATACATCCGAATACTATTATAAAAGGACCCTTTAACTATTGTCACAGTTGAGCGAGTTTCAATATATTTTGTTAACTTCAGATAAAGTAAAGCCTTGTTGAAATAAGACTTAAGGATCATCAATTATGCCACTCAGGATCATTTAGTTCTTAATCCACAGGAAAAGAGGATGAAGAATTAACAGTTCACATAAAAAGTGCAGGATTGTTTATAAATGATGGTTTTGTTAGATGGATTATGTGCCTAAAACCTTTAAATCAGGCTTAGAAAGAAACCAGATGCCAACAAAAGGGCAGATCATTTATTACTGTATTTTTACATTTGTGGTGTCAAATAATGATTTTTCTTATGGGTGAAACAACTAAGCCAGGTCTAGCATTGTGTAGAAATAAAAACAGTATAATTGTTTGACTTATGACTAAAACAAAGGTAGCTCCAAATGATCTGTGTTGAGTGGGTGGAGGGGTCAGGGTGCTGCCCCGTTGTGACTTGAAATGGAGAGTGAAATCACTGCAAAGCTCACTCATGGAAGCATCAGTCTTTGTGTCCTGAATAAGAATAACAAACCTTTTGTGTCAGCTCACTGAATTTAAGTTTTCTCATTGTTAAATGTTCAATATTGCTACTTACTTTAGGGTGACTTGTGGCATCCAGTTGTAGACGTAAGTATTGCCATAATCATCTATAAAAGCAGGTAGCAGGTAAAAAATGTCTTCTTTGTTCAAACCCATTATTAAATGACACACACAACAAGACAAACCGTTTAAGCTGCATGACTTACTTATGGGGTCTGGGATCAGCATGTGTTTATTATTATTTTTCTTTGCCTCTTTGGATGCCTTCCAATTTATAAGAAATTGTCGTGTCATCTCTTTTATTTCTTTTCCATCAAGAATCACTGGTAAAATATGACATTATATTTAAATATATTATTGACAGTTTCCCTTGTTACAATACCAAACGAATCCTTACCAAGTTTTTTGCATACAATTATGAGTCGGTCTCTGTACTTATGCTTTTTACACATAGGGTTCCCACTTAAATCCATTTGAACCAAGTTAGGCCAGTTGCTCAGCACATCCTCTAAGTCCTGAAACAAGTTGTGACACAAGTTACACTTGGGGTACAGTAGTATTGGTTAGTATGTGTTCAGTGTAATTGTGAGCACAAGGGCGGTAAGGCTGCATAAACAACACATCAGTCTGCTTTAAAAAACAGTGTCGCCGGTGTCATGTAACTGCAGCCGTTCTCCTGGGGCAGTGTGGGGCTGGCTCCTCCAGCGGCTTGCCTGCAGTTGTATGTTTATCTAACAGCACATTAATCCAAGCCTGGAAATATGAATACTCTCCGGACACGCTCTGATTGTTCATTGCCTTCCTGTCTTGGCCAAAGCGCTTCCACTTTTCCAGCCCGCGCTGCAATCAGTTCAGAGGGGACCCCTGAGCACCGCGCGCTCCCAAGCTTTGATAAATGATCGTGTCAGGGCCGTCACTCAGAAGGCCCTCACAGAAGAGCAGCCCTGCGCCAATTTGCCCCCCACACGGGGGCGAGGAGATCAGCAGAGGCTGTACTCACTGAGACGGGCCGCCTCCCGCGCCTTGGCTAATGATGGGCCAGTTATGAACCTGTATTTGACCAGGCCTTCGATTCTCCTGTCCTCTCTGCCCTGCGCACCGCTAACGGCCCCTGAAGTTGCTTCCCATTTGTCAGCCAGGCAGACTGCTTGTCATAATCTATTTTAAAAATCCATAATGTTTTCTCTACATTTGGACCAAAAGGCACAGAAAAAGCATTGATCTTTTGCAAGATCGATGCTGGCAGACACTGGGCTGTATAAATTACAGCAGAGATCAGTTAAAAATGACACATGTACAGAAATATACCTTAATCAGTGTCTCTCATAAACAGGCCATCACAGACTAATCTATTGACTTCATGAGGAAGAAGGATTATGTCCTGTTAAGAGTTTTAGTGACTAATCGTCAGTGTTTTTTTTTTTCCCATAAAATACATGTTTAGGCATTTCTAAGTCTTAAGTTTGGGTTTTAGAGTATTTAAACAGGAAAACAGTGTCTCCTGAAAGGAGAGTTGGTTAACTTGTGCTTGTTTAAAGCTGTCAGCATGAACTGTCTCTAGAGAGTAGCCCACTGATTTGTTGAATAATTCTGACCCTGTGTGAGCTGTGCAGACATGGAGCCAATTGCAAAATGTGTTTATTTCTTTGACTGTGTTCTTATAATTTCACTCACAAGTCAAAAGTCAGGGAAATTTTTTTCTTCATAAATGTCTAATTTAGAGGACATCTAAATGTATCTAAATAAATGAGTGGCTTACCACAATGTTGTCCAGCCTATTATCAGTGGCAGAAAAATGCTGTAGCTCAGTCAGAGCCGTCAGGTCCCTCAGATCATCAATGTTGTTGTTATTAATATTCAAGACACAGAGAGACATCTGAAAAAAAGGGGAGACATTCTCAAAACAATTGACAAGGCGACAACCAAGACTTTTTTTTTTTTACATTTACACGTTATCAGAGTAATTGTCGACAAATCAGGCCAGACTGAACAGTTGAGGAATCCACTGAAACAGTGGTTTCTGTGAAAGTGACAGCGCAAAGTGACAGTCTTATTTGTGACCTCAAATGTACTTGATTTCAGTCCTCCCAAAACAGCAGAGGGAAGCATTTTTGTCTGTGTGTGTCGGTACAGAACAAAGAGAAAATGGGTCATACTGCCAGAGCATGGAGCGTCATGGGGTCAAAGAGCAACTTTTCCCCTGGTGCCAGCCTCTGATTCTCCAGATGAAGTTCTTTGAGCTCAGTGAGCTCATTCAGGCCCTCTACCACTGCAATCTTGTTCCCACCCAGATACCTATCAGGCAATAAGACATTTGGATAAGTAAAAACAAAAATATACTATATAAAACAGACTAAACTTAAAACAAGAACACTTACAGTTTGGTGAGTTTCTTCAGGTTGGATAAATTATCTATTCTAGTAAGACTGTTGTTTTGCATATAGAGATGTGTCAGGTTGTAAGCAAAACTGAGGTTGTAGATATCTGAGATTTGATTATCATACAGGTAAAGCACAGTCAGGTTCCTGCACAGCGAGAGATCACCCTGCAGAATAAAAGGCAATAATAAATACATACAGAAATAGAGAAATTGCAGAATTTGCCTACTTACTATGTCCTCAATGTTTTTATTTGAGAAGTGGAGATGGGTCAGTGTTTTCAGGTACTCTGGAAAAGCGAGGCCTCTTTTCTTTTTGAAGTGGTTGTGAGATTTACCAATCAGATCTACCGTCAAACGCACCATGGTGTCTCCTTATCATGGATGCCACCTGATGGAGGAGACTTTGCAACTTCAGTCAAGCGTTCAGCAGCTCATAGCATTACTGGAGCTGTCTGGGAAGAATGAAAAAAGACAAGAAATGCACATAGAAAAAACTCAGCTTTTTGGCAACTGTTTAAAGTTAAATAAATGAAAGTGTTTTTTTGCCAGTGGCAATTGGGTAAGTTATCTGGATGAAAGTAGTAGTTGTTAAATTGACAGTAAAAGGCCAGACAATATTGGGATGTCAATACAAGGTTAGCGAAGACATGGCACCAATCAATAGATTAGATCTTAACTGTGAGCTGTGTGAGGTTAACTATATGAACATTTAGTCCCCCAGGTTTACCCTCTCCCGGGAGAAAAGAGAAGTAGTTTATCATTGTCAAGTCATAAAGAACATCTTCATCTCAATGCACAGTATGCTACTCATGGGCTAGTGTTACTGTTGTGTTGATGTTAATAATAACTCAAAGTCACAAATTAGTTAACTTAGCTAACTAGCTATTACTTGCCCACCTTCGCGGAAGAACGCCGGTGAGCGCCTAGGTTTTCCTACAAATGTATCATAAGAAAATTGTACAGTAATGCAAAACAGAACTCGGAAACTTTACCTTAAAAGACGTATCGGCTACTCTTTAAACCAAAGTAACTAATGTTACGTGGCCTATGAGAGCAAGTGTTTTTGTTTAGGACCGCCATATACGGTTTCCATAGGAACGACCTGGAGCGTGCAACCCATCGAAGCGGAACAGTCTTCTTGGATGTTTCACAGTGTGCTGCATACCCGACTTTAACTATTTAAATAACTAATTCACTAACTGCATACACACCACCAGAAATTACAATAAACAAAGAAAGGCAAACCACTGTTATTGTGAAATTAGATATTTTCTTTCTTTCAAGGGAATACTTCTAAAACACACTTTTAGGTAAGACGTAAAATATGGAAGCATTTGACACGCTACCAAAACTTTTAAAGATTAAAATTGCTTTAAGTTTTTCTTGGCTGCCCACAATTTAACTGGATTTGAATTTACATAAATGTTCTTATTCAACTAAGTCATGCATACAAATGTCCATCTGGTGATAATCAAAATATTTACATGGCCAATGAGTTCAGTATGTTTAACAAATTTTTAAATCACCACATAAGACAAATCAAAGTGGCAGAAACCATTTCAGGTGCATATGGTAGATACAGTTTTAAATCTGGTAACAATTATTTATGATCGATTGAAATATTTAATCATGTGAATTTGCTACTAACAACCTCTATTTACAATAAGGGTCAAAAATAAAATCATTACACGAAGTTGTACGACAAGTCATGACCATGAGAAAAAGCAGGTACAGTCATTTCCCTAAGGGAATTCTCTCCTTTGCAGTATATGACATCTAAAATATACATTTATCCATTACAAAATCATAAAGCGGAATGACACAAAGTGGTGCCAGAGCTGTCCATAAGGAAAAGCAGACAGGCCCAGTGTCTTTGGATAAAGAGCAGACATGTTGTGTGAATGGACTCCAGTGTGTGCAGCTTCTGCGCTGCGTCACTGCGACACCAGAACATGACGAGTAAACCACAGACGACTCAGACGACTGTATGGCCCACTGCTCTGCAGACACACTATGCCTGACATTTGAGACTGTCATTACCTTGTGCAGATGCTTAGATTTGTTGTTTCCCAACTCCCAATGTAAAGATACTAAGGTCTAAGGGAATGACTGATACACAATGTGACACATGCACTAGCCACATACTAGGGTCTCAAAATAATGTCTTACTTAGCTGTAAGGTTTATTTGTGAAAAACTCTATGCCCTGAAGATGAAGTAGCAAACTTTATTTATAACGTCACTTATTAATTTTTTTTTAACATCTTTTTTTTTTTTTTTTTGCATTTATTTTTGTTGTTGGCAACTCTTGAACAGAATAAAAAAGAGACACAATATATGCCATACTGGTTTAATGTGAGTAAGTACATGCACCACAAGACATGTTGAGGTAAAAACTGCTAAATGGTTCAAATTTAGTTGGACGTGTTGATTTGATTGAAAAGCTTGTCCTTAATGACTTGAGACATGAGACCATGAATAGCCTCTATGGTCGTCTTGCAGCTAAAATGCAAAAAGAAAATGTAAGCATAAAGAGTTGCATTCCCTCAGAGAAAACATAATAGACAAGTACAACATTACATGTACATAAGCATTCTTTCTGCATTTAACCTTACCTATCTCGTGTAGCTTTAGCCAGTTTGTCCTCTGACTTTCTGTCATGCGTGTCTAAGCCCAGCATGAAGCTGCCTCTGCCCAGCTGAGCCTCAGACTGCTCCAGCTTCTCTGACAGGTCAAACACCTGGCCTGTGGTGTAGTCAGAGTTCTGACCAAACAACACAAACAAATCAATTCATGCACAATTTCCTGACAAAAGGTAAAAAACATGATTAACAAAGAGCTTGGATTTTGACAATGTAATCCACTGGACAAGCTGTTAAAAGACTTTGCTTTGTCTGAATGAAAAGAAGTCAGGAGAAAAGTTTACTTAAGGTGAGGCCATGTTTTAGTGGAACAGGTAATTAAAACACAATGACACAGGGGCCCCAGACTGGAGTGACAGTGTAACAACTGACAAAGACTGTCACCCAAGCAGCAGCTCTCCCCTGACATGTAGTCAATTCATCTTCCTCTGAAATGCCAAAGAGCTAACTGTTTGGATAAGCCTGATGCCTATTTAGACTGTTTAGTGAAGCCCAGGGCAGAATGACTGTGTCCACAATGGGAATTCACATAAGGTGCTTTCAACCTTTAAAATGAACCAAGGGGCGGGGGAGACGATCCGTAGCATAAACATGGCAATGTCAGTACCACTGCAACCTGGGCCAAGTTTACTATGTATCTCCCTTGTTGCAAAGTTACAATTAGGCATATTACTTATATCAATAAACAGACTTTCCCTGCTAATATGCAGCAATAAATCACAACATCTCACGCTGGTGACCATATGTCTCAATGACTTATTATGTAATAATTAACCATAAATCAAAATGTCAAACAATTAGGGAACAATTCTGAATTTTGAACTTTTCTACATACCGTAAGAAGACTTGAGGAGCTTAAAGTATTGACCCAGTATTTATTCCAAAGCAGCTCCAGCAACTTTCTATCAAGGGAGGACTTAAAGTAAGTTACCTCCAAGGCATAATACCTAAAGAAGAAAGGTGTGTTAAAATAGTTGTGTCACACAGTTAATTTCACAATATAATATGATAGATGATGTGTGCATCTAAGATAAATACTTACTGTTTACAGTGTACTCCAAAGTCTTCAATCTTGTTCAGGGGAATTGTCTGATATTCAGAGGGCCCCTCATCTGGAGGTTTATAACCCTACATGCACAAAACAGAACTTGAACAATAGTGTACATTTACACAGGTTATAATGGCTGAAACATGACCAAAGACTGCTGTACCTTTGGGTAAGTTCTGAAGGCACCAAGGTTGACTTTTCCCGCTGAAATAGTTCGAGTAGGGTCGATCTGTAGGACGCATGATACAGTAGAACAGGAAAACAAAGTCAGAGGTCAAACAAATCTCCAGAGACAAATCAGGGCAGGCCACCAGGAGTCTTTTTCTACAGCTGTCAATGTCTTTAAAATATGCAATCAACTATAATACAACCCATAGCGCACTACAAATAAGTGAACATACACACCTTAAAAAACAGAAGTAAAATTCGATCAACTAAACATTTTGTTTAAATATATTAAAGTGTGTATTATTAGTAGGTATTCTAGAAAACCTGCAGTATTATAGAAAAAATGTTTTTTTAATTGAGAATTGCTCTGCTACTCGACTCGATTTAAAAAAAAAGTGACTATTGACAAAGAAAAAAAAAAAGTAGAATATTAAGATAATACTACAAATCTTACCACAACAGCCACGAAAGGCTCCTGAAACTGTTGGTTGAGCATCTGAGTGCTGACATCGATGCCTGAGAGCCAGCAGCCGTAGCCAGGGTGACTGTGGTACCAGCCGATAGCATTCTCCAATCGGCCAACCTACACGACAAAGACAGTTGATTTTTTTTTTATAATACATTTACAATTCAACAAAGTAACTGATTTAATATCCCTTATTATATTATTTATTTATGTATTTATCTCATAGGAAAATAATCTCTTTATCAGTGGAACCACTGAATACAGTATGCAACACAAACTACTTTCTTACATACCTCAGCCCCAAATTTAGTAATAGTATTACAACATAATTTGCAATATGTTAAATAGTGACCAATTACTTATCACTCACCACACTCACAGAATGGTGAATCAATAAACATTTAAATAGTCTCTCTATACACAAAAATTCCTAAAAATGTGCAGTTTAGTTTCTTTGTAATTTTGAAACACATGACAGACCAAATTATAAAAATCTACTGGGACACACTCACAAAAAATCTGTAACAATTCAGATGGATTTTTTTTTGTATCTACCTGTTTAGCATTCTCAATGTAGGCTGCCATGTACTCGTAAGCAGCGGCCTGTGCGTTCACCCTGGTCTCTGTGCCCTCCACGGGTAAGGCAAAGCTGTCCATTATGATCATGGTTTCTCCGTCGACTTTTCCCAACATGAGACCCATCACCTCTAGGTTTCCTCCAGACCGTGCATGCATTACCATCTTCAATAGGGCCAATGCAGAGATCTTGCAGTATTTGAAATAGTGGTGGCTAGACATCAAAAAGTGATAAGAAATAAGAAATTATTAGGACGAGGAGAAGATAACTGAGGAAATTCAATAGTTATTCAAAAGCTGCAACAGAGTAAAATATACTACCAACACAATTTTAAAGATGCATATTTAGATACATATTCATAAATTAATATAGTTCATTAGTAAATAAGAGAATCTTTAGATAGTTAAATAAAAAGAGGTCGAATCTTTGGATAAAGAAAAAGAATCGAAAAATAAGTCGTGTCATATGCTCCCTCTCGTTCTACGTAATAATAATAATCATAATCATAATTGCAATAATAATAATATATTCATTAAAGCTAGTTACTTTATGTTAGCTATAGCATCACTTTTAGGTTGTCAAACTCACTGCTGTCACACAGCTAACGTCAACTAGTTAACTGTAATGTTTTGTTTTTTTCTCCTCATAAATTATACTATATTAGTAGTTTGGAACATAACAAGACATGTTTGATACTCACTCCTTTGTCCATGGCTTTGCTGCGAGGATTTCTTGTTGTTGTTTTTTGTCGTATTTGTAGATTTCGTCTATACTTTGAACTTCCTGCATGCTATTTGATAGCTCCCATGTTTTCTGTGCCGTGCTGCTCCCAGCCATTACCAAACTAAGCCCCTAAAATAGATCTTAAACAGCTGGAGTATCAGTATGAACAATATATTTAATTCGTAAAATATTTTGCAGCCGTAGTCGTACACTCTATCGGGAAACCGCTGCCATGACAGTGGACTATGCCATCTCTGCATGTGAAGTTGTTATATAATAGATCCATGGGTGGTTCTCAGTAATATAAACGTTGTTAGCGTTTTGTATTTGTTAACAGCAAGTAACAAAGCTTGTTTGGTGACAAACTAACATATTTTTACGTTGTTGCTACTGTAGATAATAGGATATTTCTGTACATTGTTATCTAATTTCCCCTCTTCTGAAGAGAGATTGGTTCAGACCATCCTTGCGAACGGGAACCTTGGAACACACTGCCATCTAGTGTCGCTTTTGCAACATAGAAATATTGGCGTTAAAAACTTATTCATGGAGCATATTTAGTGCGCAAGTAGTTGATCCCATTATTAATAACACAGATTTTTATGTTGCCGAAAACGCTCATACTAGCATTAGTTTAGTTAGCTAAACACGAATTCATTGCATACCACGAGGGAATTCGGTGTGGTTGTTAATAGCAACGGAATGATGCTTTGCTCATTGAAGGTAGCAACCTAAACAACAGGCTTTGAGGGAGTTGGTCTATATGGGCTTTGTATTATTATTTTAAATTAACGACAAAAGTATTGTATTGATCTATTCATTTGCATCATTAAGGGTATTAAGGATAGCAAACGTTGTGTTTTATGCAAAAATGTTCCTGAAATTAACTTGCTAAATTTGATAAACGAATGTGGGAGACACCACCCTTGTCACAGTGCTCATTTTAGTAGCGTTAAGGAATGGTCTTTGTCAATATCCGATTCTTAGAGAAGGTAATTTTCGATCCCTGGAAAGTAGTTTTGTAGATCTGTCTCCTCCAGACTCTGCTTTGCAAGCTGTACAATGTCTAACCACAAAGGTAAGGTACGAAAATCCAAAGAATACATGTTTAAACAGCAATTCATATTAGTCTTAACGCGATAGTTATTGCTACTTTTACAGGTACCGAGTTAAATTTTTTGCTTGGAACCGAATATGAGAAAAAAAAACAGCAGCTTCACGAGGAGCTACAGATGGATTACAAACGTTACATTAATCAGGTGATAGAACAACATTTTACATAGAAAGCACTGATAATGAAATTATTTCTATACACAGAAAAGAGATCCGAAAGCTGGAGTTTACCACAAATCACAATACCAAGAACTGTCTTTGCCCATATCTGAGAGGACGTCAGAAAAGGTGAGCATTTTTGTTATCTCCATACCTGGTCTGGTAATGATTATGGCCTACCACAAATCTGCAAAACATCCATAATTTAATGCATTTGTACTTTCTTAAATCTTGGAAACGGTTTTGGTTGTACTCATTAATAATATAAGAAGGTGTCAGATGTACCAGTTGAAAAGAGTTCAGGTTCTTTCTTAACCATTCAAGTGTTTTATACTTTTGATTTCTTTTCTTCATTTTTTGACTACTATTTTTGTATCCTCAGCAGAGTAAATGTGAACAATGAACCACTCTTTTACAGGAAAAATTAAGAGAAGAAAGAAAGAGAGAATACAACCTCTTTCTTAAGGAGCAAGCTAAAACTAGAAGGCGGGGACAGTTAGATGTGCCCTCTAAGGTGAAAAGAAAGACTTTTTTTGTATGTATCTTGCTGTGTATGTGTGCATGGTTCGTTATTTATCACATTGTTGGGAGTAGGGGACTAAAATCTTTAATCACACTCACATCATGAGGATTTTATCAGGTACCCATGATCAGCAACATGGTTTAAAGTTCAGATATGGGTTAAAATAGAATAAAATGAATGTAGCATAAAAACCCAACATGTGTGGGAGTGTGTATGTGTGTGTGTGTGTATTATTTAAATGTATAATTTACATTTACTTATTACACATTTACCATATTATCTATTACTATTTTTAGGATGAGGGACCCTATGATTTTGACAAAGTGCACAAATATACAAAACATTCTTCAACTGAAAGCTATAAGATTGCAGAGCCCTCAACATCCCGGAAAGATGCTGCAACGCTTACAGACATTATTAGAAGAAAAAACAGCGGGAGGACGTGGGACTTAAGCCATCGAAGAGCGTTCCTGTCAAGACAAGACAGCAGCTCTGATGAGAAGTTTTACAAGGACAGTGAAGAAGAGATTGAGTTTAGTCACAGGAAGAAACCAAATGGACAGATTCACATGTCCAAGTACATGAAGGAGGGTCGTAGGACAAAAAGGTGTTGTCTTGGCAATAATTAATAATGATACATTATATTAATGTAGTGTCAGTTATCTAAGATTTTTGTGACAGGGTTCCCGTTAATATGAAATACGATGAAGTCTTTATTGATGAGAACAACAATGACCAAAACTGGAAATCAGTGTAAGATAAATAACTTTTGTTATCGATCAAACTGCTTTAATTATCTGTTTGAATATTACATTGATATTGTTCAAATAAAATTTATCAGTTTTACTTTAGTTCAATTAGAAATGCCACATTTGTATTAGAGATTTCCAGCTTCAGCTGGATGTAGCTATACTGTTGTGAATAACATCTTTACCTGGTTATTGACTTATTTGTATTTGTTTTAGAACTCCACACATAACAGACAAACAAGCAATGGCAGAAAGACCCATACCTAATTCCACTGCTGCTGCTGCTGCTAGAGGTTTTGCAACAGGACTGTTGATTGGTAATTATCTGTCTTTGTACATTTATGTATTAAAAGTGCTGCCATTACATGTTTCTGTTTTTACATAGGGCATTCAGAAGAACAAGATATCTTGCAGAAAAAGAAAGAACAATATAAGCAAGCATTACTAAGTCAAATTGCAGAACAACGTGAAAACAAAAGGAAGTGAGTAAAAAACAGTTTATTTTGTAATTGTATTTTGATATGACAAAATATGGTTGTTATTATTTTTAGAGAGAAAATTTTTGAACTACAGGTTGCTGCCACTGGAGTTAAAGACCCACACAGAGTAGGAAAATTTATTCTGAAATTTCACTTTGACAATGTTTTACTATATTCTTTCCATCAGTCTGACATGTTTAAACAGTTTGGTCCTGAACATCGCACATATGAGAAGTGGAAGAAAGGGGTTTCCTCTAAATCTGAAACTGGAGCCATTGCAGCCAAAGATAATCCAGAACTAAAGCATTTTCCTGACTCAAACGTTCGAAAGGAACAGAGAGAGCCCCCAGGAAGACCAAATATAGCCTTTTCTTCTCCAACTCGGGATGATCACTGCTCTACAAAGAGTGGTGCAGGCCATAGGAGTTATTCACCTGATACATCAGTTGAAGAATACAAGAGCTTCTCACAGATGATTGGCGATGTGACTGCTAAAATGTTGGTTTACTTTGTCCTTTATCATCTACCTGCCACAGGGCAATAACTACAGATGATTTTCTGTTCTGTGATTTCTTCAGGGTTTCTGCTGTTCTTCCACCATTACCTCCCAGAGTAGACCATACCTTCAGAACTCCACATGATGAAGCCTATAACTACTATGGAAGCAGACATCCATTAGAACCAGTTCCTTCCTACAATCAAAATAATATAACAAGTGAAGACATATGTAAATATATTTTTGTATTTAATGTGGTAACTGTTATATGCTCAACATATTCTAGTATAAACCAATTTCCTTTTCCTCACCTTTCAAATTTTTCCTTACATTAGATAAACCCGAAGGGCCTCAGGAGTTTGAGGGAAGTACTCCTCCTCAGCAGAGGCAAACAAAGCATCGACCCAGACAGCCTACTCAGTCAGTGCGCATAATTTACTAGACACAATCTTTATTCTGAATGTTTCCTCTCCTCCAGAAGAGGGTTCCCTTGACCAATAAATGTTCACACAATTTAACCCTCTTTTTTTTTTTTTTTTTTTTAATTCTTGGTTTGACATTGTCCAGACCTGATTTTGGACAGAAAATAACAGTAACTCCTCTCAGAGATCCATCCATAGAAAGTGAAAGACAGAGAAAAGAAAACTATCAGGAAGCACTCAGACAGCAGGTACATCACCAATCACTCATCTTTATTTTTAAGGTTAAGGTACACTTAATTTTCCTCATAAGAAAATTTGTCCTCTGCATTTGATTTCAATGCTGCTGGGGCAACTTGTTTTTTGTTAATACTGTCCCCAATCAGTAACTGGGTGTTGAACTGTATACACTTGTGTCCAGATCAAAGACAAAGCAGAGGACAGAAGAAGAGAAAAGAAGGAGCGGGAGTTGTATGAGGCCAAAAAGGTGTCTGAGATGATGGCTTATAACCCCTGGGGCAGAGCTGGAGGAGGAGCGCCTCTTATAGACCAAACTGGAAACCTTATTAGTAAGCTGGCTTTGAATCTTGTCCTAATGAGTTCCCTAAAGTTAAATTATGCAGTATGTTATTATTTTTATGCCTTATTAACAAAAGTGAATCTCATCTATTGTAGCTCAACTGAATGAGATGCACAAGCTCAACAAACAGATCTATAGGAACTGTAATCTGAATAATATCTTTAGGTTGAGTAGGGCAGGTTCTCCTCAAGACAAGCCTCTCCCTGGACTGGAACAATTAGGTAATAATGACTGTTTATGAGTGAGAGTAGCCTGTGCCTAACTTTATGTCCTTATAGGTAACAAAGAACCAGAGCATTTACAGCAGCAGGACCGTTACAAAGAGTCGCTTAAGCAGCAGGTCAGCAGTCAGTGAAAAATCCTGAAAAGTCATTAAAAAAATCAAGAAATTCATTCAACATTTAACATCTTTGATTTAATGCTTTCCAGATAGAGGAAAACAGGCGAAAGCGGACTGAAGAGAAAGAACGACAAAAAATTCTTGAAGAGAAGGAGGAGAAGAGGCTAGCGGAGGAGAGAGCTCGTATTCCGAAAGGAGTATGAAGAAGAGGAAGAGAAGAACAAGAGGAAGATGCAGGTAAAAAGATAATGATAATCTATCCATTGCTGTTTTCTAACATACAGTAGAATAAGCTTTACTCCTTTGCACCTTTATTCAGAAAAAGAGAGAACTATGGGCTGACAACAAAGACTATTCTCAGGGAAAGAGCGTCACAGATAAACATGACAACTGTAAACATAGCCGGGAGAGTAAAACAGAGGATAGACCACCAACAAGGGAAGGAACAGCCAGAACAACACAGGTGAGATACAATTTGGTGTGACGGGTTCATTATTATGCGTCTGCAATAGAGATTCTAATTATACATTCTCAGAGAGGATCGCAACAAACACACAGAGGTAATGTCTAAAACTGTATTTGAACGTTTTTATTTATTGTTATGTCAGTTCATAAGCAGTGTTATAACTCTATGTACTTTTAGGGCACAATGGACCAAATCAAGACCCATTACGAGGAGTTACTTAAGGAGCAGATAAAGCAGTTTCAAATCAGAAATACATTTAACATTCAAAATATTTTGTGCTATTTTTTTGCAGGTGGAGGAAAATTGGCGAAAGCAGACTGAAGAGAAAGAACGACAAAAAATACTTGAAGAGAAGGAGAAGAGGCTGGTGGAGCAGAGAACTAGTATCCAAAAGGAGTATGAGGAAGAGGAGCAGAGGAACAGGGGGAAGATGCAGGTAAAATGATAATAATTTATGCATTACTGTATTCAGTAAACTTAAATGTATCCCTATTTACAGAATAAACACGATTACAAACAGCAGACATATGATGGCAGAGTTGGTGATCAGGAAAAGAACATAACAGGAAATGGAACCTTACCCCCGATTACTCCTTTGCAACGTCAGCTTTCCTCCAAGACTGTAAGTCACCATACTTTAGCTGATGCTAATGCATCCATAATATATTTATACACTTATGGAATTGCACTTTTTTAAAAGGACCACTTGGAGGCAGCACCACATAAACACCCGGAGCAGGTCCTGATGAAGATACAGCAGCTGCCAGGTCAGCGTATCATGTGCTGCATTACTATAGCATTATAAAGATACAATGATAACTTTGTTAGTACTTGATGTGTAACTTGTTAATGTTAATTTCATATAGCTTTCTCAATACTTGTTGCTACTTCAATGTAGTTTCTCCAGATAATCAACAGAACGTCCTCACAGAATTGAGAACTATGCGCAGGATCCTTGAAGAAAAGAAGAAAGACCTTGAAACAAAACTAATGCATACAGATCCCTTGAATGAACCTTTCACCAGGTATTATAATTAGTTACTCCATGTGCTTTGTTAAATATGACAAATAAATGACCAGATTTAATTTAATCCACTGCACATTTTGACTTTAACTTTGAGGCAAAGTTGAATTGCTGTCCTTTCCGTTTGTCATTTTGCAGTTTTATTCTTGCAGTGCTCTGAGCTAATGAAAATGACCCAGGTCGAGCTGGCTATCTCCTATCTGATTGGTTTCGGGGACACGATATTGCATTATTATAACAGAGCATTCCCTAAAGGCTCTAATCTCATTTTATGGCCTTATCTCGCCTAATAAGTCAGGTTTGTTATAGAATGGAGGGACACATTAGAGGTGCATGTGGTCTGCTCACTTACCTCACCACACACACTGTCGCCTTGAAGAATGCGTTCATTTTTGGTTAAAAGATGAACTGCACAGTAGAGAGAGGTTCAATTAATTTCTCCTCTGTTATAAATATTGAAGAATGGTTAATTCATGTTCGTGTTTGTAAGTAAGATTTGAATAAAGGTATTTAGTATTTACGATAAAATATAATGCATATTTTTTAGGTAAATAATACTGTATAATATTACATTTTTTTGTGTGTGCAGTCCTAGAGTAAATAGCTTTATGTATATTTTTCTAATGTTTCTGTCCCTTCATCAATTTTACATAAATACAATATCCTCCACATCTGGAAAGGAGAGTTTTGGTGTAATTTATTCAATGGAGCAACTGCCTCTAATTATTGGTAGATTTATAAAAGCCTTCTCCTAATTTTTTCCAGGCACCAAAGACAAGTGAGACAAACCAGAGGGGATGCTGTGGAACGGGCACACAGGGAAAATGTACAATTTCCAATGGGAAATCTTCACTCCTCGCAAAACATCAGAGAGTTCAATCAACTTAAATACAGAGGTAATGAGTAAAATATTGCATCTCCATTTTATCATCCATTAAGCCAGCTCATATCAGTATCATTCATTCCTTGGAGGATAAAACTATATGTGAACCTGTAGGTATCACTGAATTGGTGGTTTGGACCATGATAACTGTTGACCTGGTCTTGCTGACACACAATACTGAAACTTTAATATGGTGAAGTCACAGGAGTTGTCCATCAGTGATAGAAAGGCTGGCACTGTAAGTAATTGTAATGCACAGAGGAAATGGTTTTGGATGTGTTCCCAGACAGAATTAATGCAGGGTTTGGAAAAACAGCCACAGCCTGTAAAACCAGAGAAACGACAAGAAATTTGGGTGAAAATGCTGAGAGACTCTAATCAAGCTTCATATATAAATTATGCACAGCGAGCGGTAAATATATGGTTTATTTAGAATAGTAGAAATGGGAAAGTTGATGGGAGGGACATGAACGGTGTGAATGATAAAATACTTGTTTAAAGTACTTGAGTTGTGTTTTTATAAAATAAAAACTACAATCTGTGCGCACCCACAGACACATCATCCCGCAAGGAGCTCCTTCACAACTATCCTGATCCTCCCACTGATGGACCAAGCCTGGACATCCAACAACAGGCTCTGCTCCGTGAACAACAGTGCAGACTGGGGCGCATGAAGAGGAGGGACATGGAGCAGAACTATATGGGTATAGCATTACAGCATTATGTGTCATATCATTATGTATCAATGGGTTTCAGAAGCACGGAAAAATTTATACTGTTACCAGTGCCATAGCAATTAACAATTCAACAAAATATATCCTTTGAATGGGAAAAGCCCTCCAAATGTTGCATAGAACAGAAAGCTGAAACCGTGAATATTTATTAAAATAAATGTAGAATGTTTCTAATTTCCTGTCTCCAGACTTTTTGGATCAACAAGAGGATTTCCCATCTAATGTGAGTGGGATAAACAGGTAATGTCCCTCTAAATACAAGGAAACTAATAGTTGTTTTTTTATTATCTCAGAGGAATCTAAGCAGCGAGCGTGTGAAGTCATTGCCAGCTGACACAGTGTTCCTAGGTAACCCTACCAAACTCCTCCCCTTTTCACAAACACCGCTGTAATTTGTTGGGTAGGGACATTGGAATGACACATGTTTGCTTCTCTTCTCCAGATGTTTATAGTTGTGAAGAAGACCTCCCTCATCTCTCTTCAGCGGGTTCCCTCCAGAGCGCCACACCCCCCCGGAGACACGACTATGATGTACTGCACCGTTAAGTCATTTTTAGCCTCATCTCAAAGTGATCTCAACTACTGAAGTACCTGAGCTCAAGTTTTTTTCCATTTGCACAGAACAAGGCCATTCATGTGGATCAAATGGATCACTTTAAGCAAGATGCCCCACCGCGATCCTCAGACACAAGTGTAAACCAAGTTAAGCAGAGGCGCAGACTCAAGCCTCCATCAGGTGGGACAAAGTTAAAAATACAAATTTAAACTGTGATGCTATAAACATGTGTGCTCCTCAGAACATCAGTGTGGTGATGAAGAGGACCTCTTATCTATGCATTCCTCCTGCTCTGCCTGGGAGAGACCCGTCTCCGTGGGGACTGTTGCCACGGAGCCCTGGCTGCGAACAATATCAGAACCAGAACACTCGGGCTATAGGAAACCAGGCAGGAGGCCGCGGGCGTACATCTGACTTATACAATACCCACCTTTAGCACTTTACCACAAGATAATCAGCGCTTTGTTTTTCATTGGGACCTATTTACCATTTTCTTTATACCTTTGTAATTAATGTATATATATCTGCTATAAGCTATTATTGTTTCATATTTTATGTTCTAATAAATTGAATCTTTAAGTGCAAAGTTGTGGACCTAATGTAAGAAAAAAATAAGGGTATAAAATCTTTAAAATCAACCAAGTTCAAAAACTTTATTGACCTAGAACCTGATTAGAATGCCAGATGATGTATAGTACAGAAAGTTGTACATAGTCTTTTGCCACATAGAAAACTTTACATTGCTGTATCATATACATTTTGTTTTCTACATCCATGAGCAGGAATGCATCCCAGTCATACTTAAAGCACAGCTAACTATTTAATGTTCTCTATACATCTTTCCCCCAAACCAAAGGAAAAACATTAAATATATTATTAACTTTTGATTTTGTACACAAGTGTGAAAACTAAAGTCAAACATGAAAACCTATTGGTGATTGAAAAGCAGCTAGCATCAGTTCATCTTAAACATCTTCCAGTTTTAGAAGTGTTGTGTTAAAAAACTAAGAACAAATAAAAAATGGAATAATTTAACCCTTCACTTTCCATGATCATCTTCAATCGGCAAGAAATGGTGAGGTCAAATAAATTATCACAAAAGTAAAATCTCCAGTGCATTCAAAAAGAGATCAAGTGCAGCAAATCCAGACAAACGATAAACAAAAATAAATGAAATCTAGTGTTATTATAACTTTATATTACATTACAGCGGCAGATCTGTACAACTAGTTTCACTCAAAATGTCCATTACTAATGTTAGCATCAGCTGTGTGACTTAAAGCCACACTTCATCCAGATTTTTGCATGTTGTTGAAACCACTCATTTGTTACATGTTAAAGATACAGTAAGAAGCACACGTTTTGGATTATATTTTCCTTCAATTCAAAAGATATGGATTACTGTCTATTTTGTGAATCAGTAGTTTCTCCAGAGGCAGCGCTACACAAGATTTCACCGCGGACTCCTTTTCGAAAGACATATGGGTGAGTGGTGACAGGAGTTGAGAGGGTGGGTGGTAGTCAAGTGTGATCAGCATAAAACATGGAGGTACTAGTGTTTTTGGGAACATCACTGGGCCTCCTCCCCCGCCTCCTCCGCCAACTCAGTGTCTGTCTCCTGGGCTGGTTGGGCGTCCGGTGAGGGCTCAGGCTCTGGCAGCTGCGCGATGTGGAAAACCAAACCGATGCGGAGGTAAAACTTCCTCAGTACAGCACGTAGCTCTGGGATCAGGTCGAACTGCATGATCTCGCACAGTAGGGGGTAGTATCTGGATGCATGGGCTTTGAACTGAAGGCGGAGAGAGACAACAGGTCAGGGTGAAAGTCTACACATAATGCAGTGTTATTGATAGAAATGGGTGATACTGATACTTTGTAGCTGATATCATCAACATTCCCTGGAAGACTGATGCTAACTGTAGACACCGGTCTGTCTGAAGCTCTGTTACTCAAATTAGACTTTAATCTCAGCTTTATTTTAACACAATTTGATCATAAAGAACTGACTTAGCTGGAATTACAACAGCTGATCTAATTTGAACTGTCAAACAGTCCTTCTCTAATAACATTACAATCACAAGCCAGCCAGCATTAGCCTAGCATTTCATTTAGTCACTCTCACCTTTTTGTTGAAAATCAAAAACCTACACAGGACCATGAACTCTCATATTCATCAAAAGGTCCAGAGAATGTTTAAATCTATTTTGAGTGTATGTTTCAATTACATTTTCATTTGTTAGCCATGAATAATCCTTAAATCGTAATCACAATAATCGTATTTGTAACACTAAAATCTGATATTGTGATCGTGACCCAGCCAGTTCAGAGAAACAAAAACTTTTAATATGAGATAGCAGTGTTTTAGTATTGCCCACCTCGAGATGCTAGGACAAGGTGTGTTAAAGTTACATACCCTTTCATCACTGATTTTTAGCACTTTAGTGAGGAAGAGCAGCAGAAGGTTTGTCCAAGCCTCTCTGTGACTCTCGGAGGTCAAAGCCAAGAAGTACGCTACAGCCTCGCTACACACACTGCAAGACAAGACACACAGTTTGCTTATGTAACAAAGGAAAAATAGCTCATTATACACAAAAAAGGCATTGATTTTCTGTTGCTCTCATTGTTAAGTATGCCCACAGTTTACTATTATATTAAAGCATTCAAGCCTTTATACTAGTGAAAACAATAAAAATACAGTGAACAGTGATCACTCTACTCTTGTGCTCGGTTGAAGAATGCAGGAGAGGCAAAGAGGAGCGTGGCAGCTGTTGATAGACTGACACAGACATGACAGTGAAGCTGACTGAACAATCAAAAGCAAAGTCCTTTGACAGCATACATACTTTTGCTTACAGAACTATCAGAGCGCTGCAGCTCTTTGTGCTGTCTGAAATCTACTCTACAATCAAAACAGATCATGCCTGTGTGGATAGATTTACCATAGACATTTGCTGAAGTAGTAACAATCCAATGGAGGAAAAAGGAATTCCTGTTCCTAATCCCTACTTTCACCATAATCAACTATTTTACACTAACACAGCATTGCCATGTTTAATTTAAAGATGCACAATGTAACTTTTCTGGTGGTCAGCCTGCTTGTCGCCTTGAAAATGGTATAGCTTTGCCTGGAATGTTCTGGAATGGAGGCAAGCTTATTTTGAAAGCAAGTAAGGTTAAAGGTCAGATCTGTGAAGAGGGGACTCCACTGACTGTAAGCCTGTATAAGATGCTTTCCAAAATTTTGTAGCAGTAAAAACATTTGTAAATTGAACAGATGCAGATCCAGATCCAGAGAATGAAGACATCTATGGATGCAACATAGGCTAGTTTAAAGCCATGCAATAACATTTCCATGACAAGCAGGTAGTTGAGCCTGTAACAGAAACATTACATAGTGTATCCTTAATTCTACTCCTATAATTTACTTGAAAAAGTGAGTGGATCTATTGTGGGTTAGAAAAGCTAACACTCCAAATCATTCAACAGATAAATAATGCATATTCACTTCTCTCCAAACAACGGCATTGATGGAACACTGCGGAAAGACCTTTTTAAATGTATCCATTACCTTCCAATTACAACCTACACAGGACTTCAACAACCATTACCTTTTCAATACTCTCTAATTTAGAACGCATTTTCCAGAATCCACTTAAATGGATTGTTCCAGTCTAACAAACACGTGTGTCATCGCAGTGTTTAACTCTGAAAATGACAGGTTTTGTCAGGAAGTGCAACCATCATCATTACTGGATGAGAGACGATGTAAGTGGTCAGAGTGTGCCAATGCCACACACCAACAGCAGTATAGGCTTAGTTAATATAAAATACCAATATGATACTGGTATTGGATACTGAAAATAATAGTTGGATCAGATATCAGCTTCCAAATATCGGTTCATCTTATATCCTAAATGGACATATACAATGATGTAATAAGACTGTTTACTGGTCATAGTGGGCTCAGAAAATCTCCCAATATTTGAACTTTTATCTACACAAAAGTTGTTCAGCAGTTACTTGATGGATAAATAACAACTACATAATCTAGATCAGTTTTGTTTTAAGGAAATAAATTCAGTTTTCATTCTTTGCATTGGTATTGGTTTATATCTGTTATCGTCAGATACTTAAAAGATATAGTTTGGGAAGTATTGGGACTGAAAAAGCTGGATCGGTGCATCAACAAACAGGGTCAAGCACCCCTTATAAAATAAATAATACACGGCGTTATCTAGCCTATATAAGAGTCAATAGAAACACACAGGCAAGTCTACAGATTTAGGTGATTGAATTTGTGTGTGTTTATGTGTGTATGTGTGTGTACGTGTGTATATATGTATAGTGCCATTGTGCTGGTGTTGTCCTCACTTGAGCAGTCGCCTCTGCACTTCCTCCCAGGCGTCCTGTCGGGTCTCGTCAGTGTACATCCGAAAGAGAATCCTCAGGCCACACGCCAGACTGCTGGTCTCCTGCTTCAACAGGTTTGGCTTGGACTTCCCCTTAAAGCCTTCATAACACAATCACAGTCATATGTAGACACTAATGCACAAAATGCTCTTACACAGGTACACAGACTATCTTAGAATTAAATTAAGATATAATCTAAACCTCATCTAATCATCATCTGAAAGTTCATTCCTCACAGTGATTGGTTAAATCTGTCTGTCATTCATTCCCTCAGAGCGAAGACATGGCTGGAAGAGAGGAGAAATGAGTGGGGAAAACTAGTATGTGTTTGAGCATACACCTCAAATAAACAGAAACGCACAAAAGTAATATCAAATCTTATCTTATCTGAAATCTCATATTTTAGAGGTATTTTCAGGTCATCCACCTTTATTACAAATGATGAACACATTTTCATTTAGTCTCACCAGCTTTCCAGAGTAGAGTCCTCTGCTCGTTGTTGGAGTTGAAGGCCTTAGCAAAATGGTGCGACTCAAGGAGACAGTCCAGGAGCTTAAAGAGCTGCTGTGAAGTCAGGTACCGGTACATGCCCTGGTCCTGGGTCTCCACAGGGACATCTGCTGCATACAACGCATCCCTCTGCACATACAACCCAGAGCAATAAGTACTCTATGGTTTTTAGATGTCACAGAATTAATGCACTTCCTGCTAGGGCTGTACAACATCACAAAATGATTCAATTACTATGTTGAATGTTGCAATATCAGTATGATCATGATAAATGTAAGAATTATTTTTTTCTAAGTGGGCATGGCTAAAAATTCAAATTAAAACATGTTCCTAACTCTTAGTTTGAAATCACGTACAGGCCTTTTAAGATTCAAACTAAACCAGGCCTTGTATTGTGAGCAAATCTGTTTTCTTATTATAAAGAACATTTAATTTCATTGTACCTGAGCAGCTGCAAGGTTCTCAGCATCCTCCTTCTTACTGGTGGCTGGAAAGAACACGATGTTGTCGATGGTCTGGATGAGCTCCAACTGCACCACGCACTTAATGAGCAGAGCCGAGAAAAGCCGCTGCTCCTGGGCTTCTGCAGAATACATTTGTAAATACACACATGATATAAAAAACAAGAGTGAGGGGCTCCAAGTGAAGTTAGGACTTACTGGTCGAGTTCCTGGTCTCTGCCACACCTGAACTGTACTGGCTCTGACGACGGGTCTCCATGGCAATGCGGTCCGCACTGCTGAGGGAGAGCTGGTCATCGGAGCGCGACTGAATATCCACGGACTTCTGGGAAACAGTGTCCTGAAAGCAAATTGACAAAGTTGCCAAAACTCAATAAAATAATGAAAGTGGATGAAGATAAATGCACTCAGATTTAAGATGTTTGTACAAAGATGATTTTGTTTGATGATCTGTGCAATTCTCTCACCAGTTGTTTTTCAGACAGACTCAGTGCAGCAAACGGCTCTCCTTCTGCTCCTGCTGGTCTCCATGTTAACAAGCTGAGAACACAAATAGCCATTGTATATATTAGAATAGAAAGAATTTATTATTATTATTATTACTATTGTTATTATAAAACAGCAGTTCACACGAAAGTGCCACCAAAAATAATTATTCGCTTTCTGAGTATGAAAATCTGACTATATCAAGCCTAAAACTAAACCATGGATAAAGTGCTTCTAATAATAACTAACCCAAAATTAAACAAAAACTAAAGAAATGCTGCATGGAGCCCTGCGATCCACCAGAGGCAGCTTGCATAACAACAAAAAGCACAAGTACCACAGTTTGAGAAACACTGCATTAGAATAAAACAGCCTTCTGAGATTAATATCCAATCTGTTTTGCTGTTTTGATAAATATTCTTACGCATGAGGGATGGTTGTCTTGAAGATGTCCAACATGCAGTTACACGTCTTGTCCCAGGTCTCCAGGGAGAACTTCTCTCCATTCAAAATAACTACATTCTCTAAACAGTTGGTGCCTGAGCGGGCCAGCTGCTCATTATCTGTTTACAGGAAAACAAATAGGGTCAAGAAGAAGAAGTCTACAACCTGCTGAAAACAACGCGTGTTTGCTCTATACTTACCCTGCTGCACACACCAGTACAGCTGAGCCAGAATGTCATCCAATAGCACATCGTTAAGGGACTCGAAGTATTGGGTGAAAACATCACAAATGGCATAAAGTGCATGGTTACAGGTGGTTGTCATCCACTCTGCTTTCTGTCAAACACAAGCAATACAATAACAATTATTAACAGTACGAGCTACCAGTGGTGGAAGGCAGCAATGTACAAAAGTAAAAGTACAATACTTGAGTAAATTTTTTATTTATTATTATTTATTTATTTATTTGAGGGCAGGTATCTGTACGTTCTAGTCCGCTACATTTTAGTCCTGGACTAAAATACATAAAGTACTTTACTTTATGATTTGAGACCTGCTGAAAGGGTTGAGACTTGTTTTTAATACATACAATACATTTAATTTGAGTAAATGTACAAAATTACTTACAAACTTATCAACATACATAAAAACAGCTGAAAAATTAAGAAATCAATGTAATCACTTAAAATCAGGAAAATTACTCAAAATCAATACATTTGATGTTTTAACTGTAAAAAAAAAAAAAAAAAAAAGCTACACTTAAAGTACAATTTTAAACAGGTACTTTTTAGATTATTTCATGTGGTACTTTTACTTGAGTAATCTTTTGCCCCTGTGTCTGTACTTTTACTTAAGTAACAAAACTTAGTACTTCATCCACAACTACCAAGTATACAAAAAGTATCTTATTTTAAATTGTATGTACCTCGGTCTGCTGCTCTGGCAACTTCATATTGTCAAAGATCCTAAACACAATTCTGAACAAATCTTGCCACCAGTGTTTTTCGAAGGTGTGGCCGTACGTCTTCATCACTTCAAACATTACTGTTAGCCCCCTGGGAAAACAAACTTTTTATTAATTTCCATTTTTAAGTTCAAATCAGTTCATTTGAGCTTGGACTAAATATGTAAAAATGCCTAACAATTATCAGAGTAAAACAATATGAATGCATTGTCTGTGTGGCTCGGTAATAGAAAGCTACAGTTGACCTCCGCCTACCTGGTCCTCACATCCAGTTTACACCTGTTGATGATGCACGAGAGCTCGAAGAGAATGGGGAACCAGCCACGCACCCACACGCGGTCCTCTGGTGCTACATTCATGTCATCACTGGTATAGTCTTTGAAGGCCTGGAAGAAAAGAAGGACATTTTCACTGCACAGCTCAATGTAGACAATTATTCCTCCCACACAATACACGTTTTTCAACACATTTTGCACGTGCATCTGAGCGAGCAATAGTATAAGGACTTGGATGGTTCCCTGAAGGCACCCACCCACAAGAGGCACTGGACTCCACATTTTCACCAGTGTTTTGTGCAAAAAAAAACTAAACAAACAAACAAAAAAAAAACAATTTGAGTAGAATATCTAATAGCTAACAAGCATAATTTGCCATTGCAATTTAATTTACTGTTTAAAGTCAGATTGCACATTCGAGAGCTCACAGAGATAATAATTGCTACATAGAGTTACATAGTGCATAATGATTTGCCAATTGTGACCACTCAACTTAAAGTTTCAACTTGTATAACTCTTCAGCTCTAATATGGAATAAATGATCTACTAATCTAACTAATTTGCTGCATGTAAACCTTCACAAGTTAAGACATATTGTTGTACAAAAGTAAGTGTTGGTGTGGTACTAACCTGTGGTCTTTCAGACACATATTTGGCGCAGTGTCGGATGAGCCGGATGGCCTCCATGCTGGTGTCTGGGAACGAGGCATTGCAGGCAAACTCAGACAGACACTTGACAGCATCTTGGAAGGAGTCTATGGTGGCTGCAAAGTGCTTCTCAAATACATTCGCTGAAACAAAAAAAAATTTCAAATTTTACTAAACATGTCTCAAGTGAACTCTAAAGCCACAAATTAGAGAGTACTTGTTTCACTTACTGACAATATGGCCCGTGGTTTGGAAGGCCAACTCCACAATGCTTTCGTCCTGGTCAGAAGCGGCCAAATGGAAGACTGAAAAGATATTCTTCCAACCAGAGCGGATGTTTGCTGCCTGTGAGTTCACCATCTGAGCTATACAGCGCACGACCATGTCTCTGATAGTGGGGGACCTGTGACGAGAGGAATGCAGACAAGCTGAAAGTTTGAAATTTAAATAAAGAAAAGCTAAAAGGAGAGATGGGTAGTACTCATTGACTTTCATTTACTCAAATTACTTCAAAAAGTTACTCAAGCAAAATTAACTGATATCATACCTTAACACTGCTTAAGAAATGTTAAGTTTGAAGTAACAAATAACGTGAGCAAAAATTTTCAAATTAAACCTGCAAACTTATTGAATCTGTTTTGACATAGGACTGTAATGTAATACAATACAGATGGGAGTAAGTCTACAAGTGACAAAAGCTGTACGTGAGCAAAATTCGATGAATATTCTTCGAACATCCTTATACCCTACCTTCAAATTTATTGGATTTTTTAGAACTACCAGACTCAGTTACAATTTACTTTAAATACATTTTACATCCAAACTGTTCTCAAGAAGTAGTTTCACTAAAATTAATTGAAGCAATTCTTGACTGGCCCAGGAATAAGATATTATCACCAAATTAATCAAAACAACTGGACTTACTAAACATTTTAGTTGAGTTGTTTTGATTAATTTTGTTAATTAAAAAGCCCCAATGCTACATCTAGTGGGAGCCACAGAAACTAAACTTTTGGAGCCAAAAGTCCAGTTGTTTTGATTCATTTCATGATAACTCCCAAAACATCCTCAAAAACATTTTTACTCTACCTTTTACTTCAACTTGAGTAATACTATTTTAAAGTGAAGTTACACTTGCTCCAGTACAAATAACAGCTACCCTTCCCACCTCTGACTAAAGGTAGGTAGCACAAAAATATGAGGCTTAAGTAGAAAAAGAAATGTTCATTTATTGAAGGAAGCTGTGTCAATTAACTTTAAAAGCTTCTGATAACATTCTCAGTGGAAGGATAAGCATTATTTCAGTCGTCTTGGCGAAGTGGGTTTTACTGCAACAGTTGCCATAGCAAAGAGCTCCCATAATGGCTCTGTAGTTATGAATGAGGAAGAACACACACACACACACACAAGGACACACACACACAAAGACACACACACACACAGACAGCTGCTCATCCACCCGGAGGAGGGCAGAGTTAGTCTAATGGGCCGGAGCTGCAGGGGTTGTAACGTGGCCCTTTGCCATCTCCTCCTCAGTCTGCTCAGTGGGTGGACTCCCATGCTGCTGCCCTCATTCATGTCAGTGAAAAGTGCTGTCAAACATGCTTTGTGATAATACTAACAGCAGGATGTTCTACAACAGTGGTTCTCAAACTTTTCACACAAAGTACTACCTAAGACAATTTTTGGCTTTCAAAGTACCACCAGATCTAAACTCAGATATCAGATCTAAATTTGAGGTGAACAAGATAAAAATGAGTCTAAACCATGCATAAGTTAGTTCTAATATAATGAATAACAAAGAACAACAAAAAAGATGAATATAATCTAGTAATTAAAGAAATACTCAAACTGCAGAGGGCCCTGCATAGGAAGCAACCTGCCTACCATCAGAAGTACACATACCACAGTTTGAGAAACATTGTGCTACAGTATGGCATTAAACTTGACTATCTCCATGGAGACAAGCTGATGACGTCACAAATGTGAGATAAACATGTTTAATGCCATATTGTGCAGCATTCCAGGAAAAGTTGCAGAGAGCACTTTTAAATGAAATAGGACAGGAAAGCTACAGGAATAACAGTCAAAAGGTCTATTTAGTCAGTTTCAACGTTGATGTGCAGTAAACAAGTGAGCAGCACAGATTCTCAAAGGAGCAGAGGGAAAGAACAGCCAAACAGTGAGATAAACAGAAGGAGACAGAGGCCGAGGAGGCCAGAGTCACTGCTGCGCTGAATCACAGATTCTCTGCAGCCAGAGCAGAAATATTAACCAGTCACCACACAATACAGGCTTTGTGCTTTCCCTGAAACTTGAGTCCCTTTACCTGTTCTTTTTCATGATGTGCTCAAAAGGCCGAAGGAAATCTTTCTGGAATCTGAAGTTAGCCAACTCGCCCTTCTCCAAAAACTTCATTGACAGCTGCCGAAGAGAATCCACTGCAAAGATCGCAACATCTTCATTGGTGCTACAGCCGACCTGTAAAATAAAATCACTTTTATTTTAAGAACTGTTTATACATTGGCTGTGTTCATAATTGGTTCAGTTCTAATCCTGTTTTTTTTACTTTTCTACACAAGGTTAATTAGGTTTAGTCCCTATTTTGATGTTGTATGTATGTGGAGTGGACATAGCCGTAGTGAATTATCAAGATATCAATGAAAAGCTATTACAAATAAATGAGCCATACTTCACAGTAGCAGCCTTTTTATTTTTCCAATTTCAATCAAATTTCAAGGATGAAGGACCTCAGTTCAGAGCTACTTGTCCTTTTTGAGTCCCTCCGTTGTTGAGTTTTACCTTGTTAAAATGATCTCCAATGACCTCCCATATCCTGGACCACTGAAGCCTGATGCGGCCCATGTTGTAGTAGGAGATCTCCACTATTTTCTGCAGGCTGAACATTCGCGGGTGTGTGGGCGAGGCCAGCTCATCCATGGACACAGCGCACAGCCAGCGCACGAAATCCACTGACAAAAACACAAGACGAGAGAATAAATGGTTCCTTTGTGCCTCGGAGTGGACTGAGTCATCTTAATCAAGCCAGAAAAAGCTCGTCCTTGAGAGAAAAGATGTCTGAATTATCTCGACTCACCTATTGCGTTACCATCCAGTCTGGTGGAGCCTGTGAATATCCTGCAGTACACAAGACAGAAAACCTTTTTTAAACTTGGAAATTATGAAGTAAAAGTGTGATCTAGTGAAAATTACCTGTCTACAGCCACCACCACACTCTGGGAACTGGTCTCTCCAATTGACTCCTGGATGCTAGCAATCTGTTTTCGATCCACTGTCCCACCAACTGCAGAATTTGAAGTTATTTTAAAAAGGTGCATAGTATAAGCATATATGTTCATATTTGTATACAGTTCAAAAGGCCTTCACCTAGTCCAAGATACTCATCATTTGTCTGTTCCTTGGTGCTTGTGATGAAGCCCTCTTTGCCGCGTACTGTCCCTGAGATGTAGCGGGCTTTCACCCCTGTACCGATGAGCTGAGCCAACTCCAGCTGACTGATGCACTTCAGGATCTGAAGAATAATACAAGAGCAGCACAGTCTGAGCAACAGGGGAAATCAGAAAACAAAGGCTTCTATATTCACTTCATTCATACATTCATTGCATAGAAAGCACTGAAAAGCTCATTCATATTGCAAAGATGTATAATGTAAGTGATACTTTTCAGAAAGCTACAGCTGCAGGCAAAAATATGTTATGCTATTTAATATTGGTTTATGCTGTAAGTTTCTCCTTAAAAGTTCATATTTTTTAAGTTGTTGCTTCTGCATTCGTCACAGCAAATACTGAGCTTTTACTGCTTTATGATTAGCATTTTTGCAAAGATCTTAAGAGTGGGAGTGACACACCAAAATAGCAGGCTACAATAAATATCACCGGAGTACTGTTGCAGGACTGACCTCGTGCCAGGAGTTGCCCAGGTAGTTTCCGTCAGTGTGAGCCACAGTGATGAGGGTCTTGATAGTGTCGATGTTTTTCTGCTTCATTTCAGAGATGCCAGAACTCGCCGTCAACAATGTGAACCTTGCCAGAGCCTGAACATAGGCATCGCGCTCCAACTGTTACAGAGAGAAACACTTATTACACAGTTCAATTCAAGGTCATTTAGACCGCTGTTAGGGAGCCATACTTGTATTGAGAAGATACATGCTATCCGAATGGCACAGCGAATGCCTTCTAGACAAAGAGAGGCCACCTCAGTGTCATCACAGTCCTGCAGACCCACACTGAATGCAGCCAGGAAGGGAGTCCACGCCAGCTGGAAAAGTCCAAACTGTTAGTCCCCTGTGTCCGGTACACTCTTTCCTGTGTGTGGATGAGCTGTGCAAGAGGTGCGAATGAGGGGTGAGGGCGTGTTACCTTGAACATGGGTCTAACGTGCTCCAGATGTGTGGCGCTGGTGAAAGGGGCCTGGACGTGGCTCACAGCCTCCATCAAAGCTTTGGCCGTTTTTGCCATTTGCTCCATTTCCACATTGTACAACAGGCGCCGCTGCTTCTCACTGGCTACACCTGAGGGATTAAACATCAAACACGCACATTGTTCAAGACGCAGTGAGGTTATTGTAGTATACACAATAAGGCAACTGGTGATATCAAGAATGGATTCCTTTGTGGTCCACGATGAAAGCTATAACAAAAGTGTTTTATCTAAAACAGTAAAGTCTAAAACACACATTTAACAAAGAATCTTTAAGGACAAGAGTGTAAAGTCACAATAAAAAAACTGTACAGAACGGCACTTAACGGTACTCAACTAGGGATGGGATGGTAATCAATTATAAATTTAAAGCAATAAAAAGAGCAGACAGTAATCGTTAGTGTATCATTGTGCCAATCACCAAACAAGATAATCACCATTATACATACCATCAGATTGGGCAGAAAAAAATACTTGTCTGTGATGTTCTCTTCTAGAGAGTTTCTGTTTTCACTTATAAGCAGAAATATAATTCTATAATACAGTATTTTACTGGCGGTCTGGATTAAAAAAACGTACTGTCATTAAATGGTCTATTTTTGAACTTTTTTCACAAATAAACCGCACCAGACTTTAAACGAAACACAACAGTTCGATGGGTCAGTCGGACTTTGTTTGGCACTTTCACGGTGACTCTGGGCTTTGTTCAATTGTGGCGCGTAGGGAGGATGCTGTCTGGGACCACTGGATTGTTGGCGTATTCGCAGCTTTTTTGGTTCGTTTCTCCATTCCATTCCTCGTCAGCGTGGAATAATGAGTGTAGCTGCAGGTGTGTTTCGTTGCGCAGTCACTGTCTGTTCCGTGCGTGTTTGCGTGCGCTGCGGGTGGTGCGGCTTTGTAATTTACTGAAGTTGTGCTGGGACGCCCAAGTGGATTCATGTATAGGGCGCTCTGGCTTTTTGATGGGGTTAGAGGCTTAAGTCTAATAGCCCGGAAAACACGGTAGTTTAAACATGGAACTCATTCATAATCTTAAAATTATAAAATATTTGTATTTATACATATTTTAAACTGTACATTTTAATGGTTCTTGTAGAATAATTAGTAATTGTTATTATTTTGGCTATGATAATACGATATGACACAAGTTCAATATCCTTCTCTGCCGACTGTAAACATTGTAATATTATTAATTAGCATTACAGATATTTGTGTACTATAGCCACAGTCAGCAATGCATGTGCAACTAAAAAGGTCCACAAATCAATTTAAAAGCCCCAAACAGTGGGTTATTTATCAAGTGATATTATCAACAAAAAGGTTTAGGCCTGAACAAAAGGCTGTAATCCAAAACAACAGAGAGCAATGCACTTACTCTGTTTGTTAGATTTCATGGTGAGCTCCTTGGTCTCCTTCATGGCGATCTTCTTCCCTGCGATCTCATCGTAGATGGCGGACAGATACTCCTCCGGCAGGTCTTTGCTGTCATTAATCCCCCGGTTCATCTTGATGTATTGCTCTTTGGACATTTTATTCTTCACCTTGAGAGACAAAAACAACCGAATGAGTCAAAAGCTATCTGTGCGTTTTCAGCGATTTGTGTTAAGATGCGATCAAAAACACTTGCCACAGAATGACTACTGCAGTGCTCACCTGTGGACTGTGGAGGTCTGTTGTCAACATAATGATGGAATAGGCCAGGACGTACGCCGTGTCAGCACTGGCGAAGAGTGTTTGCCTAAAAATTGACAATAAAGTTAAAGGAGCACTGTGGAACTTTTCTGGTGGAGGGTCTACCTATATTTTTGTCTTCACAATGTAGTAATTGCTTTGCTTGTAATGTTCCACAGTATAGTATTAAACTTAACCATCTCCTTGGAAACAACAACTCTATTACTCAAAGAACATGCATACCAAGAAACAATCATAGTAAAATGAATGGAAGATAAATAAGTTGAAGTATGTCGTGGACACTCTACATTAGACAATTCATATACCAGATTAGCACTTAGTGAGTTAGCATTACGTCTACATTCTTACCCCTGATTGCATTCAAGATATCTTGCTGCAAATTTCTCCATGAGTCGGTCAATCTTCTGGGCCTCTCCCGGGAGTCGAAAGCCCTCCAAGAACATCCTCAGTGCTGACACAAAATCTTTTCCTTGGAAGTCCATCTGATCCACGTAGGCATACATCACTTCTTTATTGAACCGGTCATTGTCCCCTAAGAACTCTCCAACCTGAGTCTGACAAAGCAATAAAAAGACTGAATGAGTTAATATAAAAACAAATGTGATAACTGATTAGGTCATTAAGTCTCAGAACACATCTCCATAAATGCTCTCCAGTGCATCTGCGGTTTCCAAAGTAGCAAATCATAACAGATTGTGACTGATGATGACTAATAAATAATTGGACAAGAGCAAAATTTGTTGAGAAGTCTGAGGACACTAATAAAGCACAGCATTCATCTAATCAAATATAATGATTTATTCTATTACAATGATTATATTTATACAACCTCTGTATTAAAGCAACTTTTAATAATCCCATGTCCCACTACATAAAAAAATTAATCATTTCAAAAAGTCTATTCAAGGTGAAAAGACAGTAAATTTCATCAGTGGTTTTAGTGATTTTTATAGCGCTGTTTTCTAAGATGTTTGGGTTATGAGCTAAAGGCAGTTAAAGAATAATTTGGTTGAATACTTGTTTTGTTCATGCTAAACAACAAACTAGCAAAATAATTTACTGAATCAAGTCTTTCTTCTTGATGCAAAAACTGTGCAAGGTCCTCCGGTGTGGTTCCCAGCATGCCTTGCTCCTGTAGGTACTGGATTCCTCTCTTTGGCTTCTTGTTAAATCTACACATGACACAGAACAATAGTGTTAGTATAGCAAACCCCATTACAGCAACAACATGATGAATAATTGAAGTGTGTGTGGTGCAAACATACAGGTCTATGCCTTGCTCGATAATTTCCTTCTGCTGTTTCAAGACCTCAAACTGCTCCGGGTTGTCAGTGCCGGACATTTGCGTGCTGTAGCTCCCAATGCCGGAGGATGCTGTGGAGTCTAGAGAGTTAATGCTCCCGTAGCGGTTTATAGTGTCCGGGGCCTTCGTCTCTGTGTTGTCCTGCTCTGATGGTTTCTCTTGACCTATGGGAAAGCACATGCCAAATTATACAATCAAAAGTAGCAATACCCAGATACTAATCAATACTAAATCTAATATCAAAACTAGACACAGATTTGAAGTATTGATACTGAAACGCACAAACAGGACAAAATTCAGACTTTCCTAAATAATTTTGGAATGATCTTGATGCATCACATGTAAATATGAAAAGAAACTACTATTACTTTGTCATTATGTTGTCTAAAATCATAACTACCCTATTTTTGGAGTAATATCACCAGTAGAGGATGTATGATATGGCTATTAAGAGTAAAATTGAATCATGATTAAATTTTACTGCCCTTACCCACTTCGTATACTGATCTGCCTCCATCTGAGGAAGTGATCGGCAATATAACCATCAGAGTGAATTGTGCCTTTTTTTTTTTAGAATAAGCCAATAGCAAACTTTGGTAACATCTTAAAACCATGTGGTAAACTGAGCAAGACTAAAGAAAAAACTATTTTTTGGCATATCGTCTGATTTTAAGTAATAGTAAAAAAGGAAGGAGAGAAAGCTATTTAAGCTCCAGGCATTTACATCCATATTCTATTAAAATCACAAAGGTAGGAAGGAGTCTTTTCTCAGTATCGCAGAAGCTCAACGAAGAGGTTTTGAAAATGGACTGACACAAGCAAGAACGAACGCAGCAAATGAAATGAGAAACTGCAACAAAAAGGGGGCAAAATGACCCTGGGGCTGGTTTAAGAATTATTGCAGACAGAAAGGATACGCGCACTGCTGTTTGCTCTCACTAAAACAGCAATGGCCCATGTTTATTTACAAAGAGCAGGTGCAAGCAGAGCACGGAGAGAGAGAGGCAGGGGGCATTGTAAGAGGTGGATTATCTAAAAGCTTCAGGAGGTGCAGTTAGAACTAGGGGCTGGAAAAGGCTGCTTTTTAAGCCCCACAAGAATGATGCCTGCTGGAGTGTGGCCAGTGCTACCAACCCAGGGTCTTATTACTCATTGGAAACTCTCTAAAACATTTAAGACAGTGGAGGAGCTATTTAAGTTGGTTGCGTGTCTTCTGTGTGTCTATTGTTACAGGGAAAGGGACAAACTGGGCACTTTATCAGTTAAACAGAGCAGAAATAGTTAATATGGGGGAGGATTTAGTAATATTAAGCTGTAAAGGATCAGTAAAAATACACAACACAAGGAAGTCTGTTGGAACAAGATCTAAAGTTAGAACAACTTTCTCACAGCAACACAGTTCTAGCAACCACTGCAGACAAAAGGACAGTTACCTGCTCGTGCTTTGGAGTTTTTCCAACATAATGAAACATATTTGGAAAGGAGACAATTGAATGCATTGTGTTTAATTCATAAGACAAATTAAATTGCACCAGAATGTGAAAACACTAACTTAGCCTTCAGATCAGATTATCTGTGGCTAACACGTCTGTCTGAGCGGGATAGTTATGACAGCTTAGCCTAAGGGCTGCCGTTGTACCGCGTCAATGGCCTGTGGGATTGATTTCATGGCCAATTCCTAAAGTTGCACTTTCTCTGCACCTTGAGCTGTTCCTTTGGCTAAAAGACTCCTGTAAGAAGAGAGCCAGTAGCTGTTTTTTTCCCTTGAGTAATGTTTTGCATGTCCTATAAAGGTATTTGATGCTGGCTTGGCCCAAAGCATTGTACTGTATTTTGTATAACAATTATAATTTAAAACACAAAAATTTACCATTTAGATAAACATGTAGACAGGTCTTACCAAGGCTGGTTTGGGAGTTGGGGTTCACATACTGGTCTTTACTCCATTCTACCATACACTTCAAAATGGACACTAGACATTCAAGGCCCTTCTTCCTTAGAGTCAGCTCCTATAGGAAGAATATTATAGGTCACTCACTCTGTCAAGTATTTACAATTATTTAAACCATATAAAAGTTGTACCTGTAGTGGTGTTGTGCCGAGCTCGTGGCCACCACGGCCCTGTGCAATTTTTGACAGGTCATTGACCAAGCGTTCAAAAATATTGGCAGCATTCAAGTCACAATCATAATTGACATAGATGTCCACCACACTCTGGGCATCTGCAAAAGCACATTATGTTCAGCACTGTGTTCAGTGGCAGTTTTAACTGTCATACAGAGCCCAACAGACCTGCACATATTCTGGTCAGAGTCTGGATCACCATCCACTTATGGTCATAGGAGCTTGTTGAGGTCTCCAGGATGTAGAGAAAAATCTCTTTGAAGAAGACCTGAAAAAGAGACATGACCATATGTGAATAACAAAAGTGAAAACACCACAGGCTTCACACACTGAAAATAAAATCTGCAGAACACTGTATTTCGGCAAATCCATTTTCTAGCATTTCCTTGAAATATAGTCTGAAACCAGGACACTTTTTCATAAAGACAATGTTCGCTGGATGAAAAAATTTTGGTTCTGGGTATCCCAGAAATTTTATTATTCAGTCACACTGACATTCAAAAATATACAACATTCCATTTACCAAACATTGTAGCTGGTTCTGTGGATTAAAGTGAAAGGATGGAGAGCATGCCTTCAGCACAGTGCATATTACCTCGATTTGCATCTTGAGATGAGTCTTGAAGTGTGACAGCAGAGTGAGGAAAATGGACAGAGAGAGTTCAAAGACCTCGGGCACAGAGGAGACCCCGTTCTTAGACAGAGCCACACACAGGTACTGCTTGATGGCGTTTATGAACATTTCATTGGTTTTAAAAATGGGCCCAGCGTTCTGCAGAATAGACAGCAGCAGCTGCAGAGACAAGACCTTTGACCGCAACTCATGAGACCTAAAGAAGACAAAATACAGAGGATGTTGAATTAAGTAGGGTTTTTATTTCCTGTGTTAAAATAAGGACAACTCTGACACTAAAATACAAATTAATGTATCAAACAAATAATCAGAGAAGTGTTTTTTTCAGCTAACTCATACTACCCTACTTTATATGCTGTTACTGGCTCCTATTCAGCGATTCCTTTTATCTCCAAAGAGCAGAGGACATTTGTGGGAAAAACAAAATATGTCTCTTTTGTTTGAAATTCATCAAAATAGGTATTCAAAATTCTTGGAACAAGTATCTTTATTCTGTGAAACCTAAAAGTGGAGTGATGCCTCATAGTTTATCAGAGTTCTCAAATTATTATTGGACCAATCTCATTTAGAAACATGACTCAAATATTTTCCTACACACAGAAAGAGATGGAAATGCAGTTTCAAACTAAGCAAATGCCACTGCAAGCAAATTTCTAATAGTAATAATTTTATAATGAAAGAAATAAGTGTTATTCTTGAGCCAACTAAAACAGGCACATCTCATGTAGGGTGTAAGATGTAAGGAAACCAAGCCACAGAAAGACTCACTTGGGATCCGGTGGTCCATCAGACAGCGGCTTCATTGACAGTTTACAAAGCGATCGAAAGACGAGGAAGGCGTCTTTCTGTAGGATGTGGGAAAATTTAGCTCCTGGAGGCTGTCCCGGAGCTGCACCAGATTCCTGCCAGATTAATGATTAATTTAATACTTAGTAAAATCATTAATTCACACAACACAGACACACACACAACAAACATGCAACATGTGTTCATACGAAATGTGTGTGCTTTACCTGAGTGTCAGTGGATGAGACAGACAACCGGTCATCGGGAAGAGAGGGGGTGAAGGTGGCAGAGATAGGGGTTCCCGGGATGCCGTTGGCGTGGACGTGCTCAGTGTCACTGCCTGCGGTCCCCTCATCCTCCAGAGAGCTCTGGTTGCCCTCGGTGACGGCCTCAGCAGGCTCAGACTCAGCTGGCTCACCTGAATCCTTTGCCTCAGAGCACAGGTTTGCAGGGTCTAGACAGTGCCCTGTGAGTATAGAACAACTGATTAAAGGAGACAATAATATGCAAAATCAACATAAACATCTAACATTTTCCAGTTTATCAGTAAGTGAATTTTGCAATTAATCAAAGTAATGCTGCTCTTACCTCCAGCTACAGTATTGACTACTTCTTGAAGTATACTCTGGACAATTTCCTGGGCTTTCTCCTCATAGTTGGGAGCATCTCCTTCCTCATTGGCCTCCGTATGCTCTTGAACTTCTGCATCTAAAGTAAATGAATGAATAAATAGATGCATTCACATAGAGCCTTGTAATGAATAAAATCTGTAATAATCAAATGCATTCCTATATGTTTCTATGCCTATGTTAAATCCAGAGTTATTGCTTACTCTGTGCCGCTGCTGTTGCCTGGTCAGCCTCTGTCTGTTCATTTTCTGCCTCACAAAATTCAGTACCATTCTCCGGGTCTGGATTCTCGTAGGCAGGCCCCTGCTCTGACACAGACCGGCTGTTCCCCTCGGGGGCGGGGGTGGAGGGGGCTGTGGAAGGCGTGGAGGGGGCAGAGGGGATGTTGATGGTCGGGGTGGAGGGCGTGGTGGGACCGTTGGCCTCTTGGATCGGCCCCTTGGACTCATTCTGAGGTGTGACCGGGGAATGCTGTCGATGTCGCTCTCTCTCTTGCTGCTTTGCCTCCTGCAGCTGCAAGCCACAAACGTAACATGGACTCAATGAATATAAAGCAGTAACAGTGTCTCTACCCCCAGGGTAGGTATAAGAGGAGTTTCCAAATTGTCAACATACAAAAAAAATTAAATATACAAATCAGGCATAACACTATTGCCACCAACTTGTTTGTCCTAGTTTAATTTTACATAAGGTCATAATAATCAGAGACCACTGGACATAATGTTATACCTGATCAGTGCAAGTTGCTGAATGAACTATGAAGTCTGTAGTAATGAAATGATAAAAGTAAAAATGTTTCATGCTTATATATACAAAGTTTTAGTCCAGTGATTGCAGGCAGCATTTCCTCTGGAAAATAAATGCTTGGCTGGTGCGTCACGATTGATATAAGTAACCACTTCCCCTGATATGGGATCTGAGTGTGACTGTACTTTGGTGAAGGTAGGTCATGAGGTAAAAGTGGGTCAGAAAACATTAGCATAGTGCTGAAGCCTGATCATGGTATTATTCACAGTCAAAAGTATTTGTAGAGAAACACTCACAGATAATTTCTGAAAGAAATAAGATGCAGTGGTCTATGTGCAGGATGCTGATGTGGAAAACTGTACAGTGATTTTTTAGTTTTTTTTTTACTCAAGTGGAATTACAAGAATGTAGGATGTGTTTGTAATGTCAAAAATAATTTCCTAAAAGTGAAGACAAAGCATGGTTACTGACTAGATAGAAACAGAGGTACTAAATGGTAAATAACATCAGTGACAGGTGTAGAAAATAATGCTGATACATGGTGACCCCCCCCCGGAGAAGTGTTTCAATAAACACTGTAATTAGCTTTGTATTTGATAAGGAAGAATTAAGTCATTGGGCACATAATATACTGTTCATTTAAGATGCTAATAATAATTATCTATAATGAGTGAACAAAAAACAAAGAACAAATTAATAAATTAACTTGTTGCCTTTTTATCCACAGGTCAGGACTGAAGAAAATGAGGCTGATTGGAGCAAGTTGCCCAGCATATGTGTACGCTGTAACCCTAACCACTGAGACCACACACAGATCAAAAACTAAGGTCTCTCAAAGCCTTTTTTGTTAATGAGGTTTTCTGTGCTGCATGTCACATAATATGTCACATTCAATGAGACAGCATTCTTAAAAGGAAACAATTAGTATTGAATACAAGCGATGGTAACAAGGGTAGACAAGCAGAGCTTAAGGAGAAGCAGCCCAGGCAGAGCAAACAAACTAAGCTCATTATTTAAATGCCACCTCAGTGGGATAGGGAAGGCTGAGCCGAGTGTTAGAACCTGAGACAGGCTCTTAAGATGCATGTGTGTGATCATAATACCACCTTTAAATATCTGAGTCTGCCATGTTTCTACTTTTCTGTCCCATGTCAGTGTTTACATTCAGGCAAAAATATGAAATAACTGTATCAGAAAACAGCACAAAACTATCAACAACGAGTCAGCTGGAGTCATCTTTGCCATAACATTTAGCAATCCCCAAGAGTTCACGTGAACTACAATGTGCCAAGGTGTGGGAGAGCAAGATGATTTGAAGACATGTCAACAAGCTACAGCAAGCACACAATGGATGAAAAGTACATAGAAGCACCTGCTCCGGAGCGCGCAGGAGCCAGAGAAATGAGTGCAGGATGACAGAAGCGTGATGCAAACACAGACACAGTGTTCAGTCCAATCAGGCAAATCACAGCAGTCCTGCAAGCTTTACCTGGCGGTCACGCTTTCGGGAGGCCAGAGACCAAGATATCTTGTGATTTGTAAGCTATGTGTCCAAAGAAAGGGAGGGAGGCAGGTAAGGGGGAAAAGTGTCATTCAAAAAGAAAAAAAGGACATTAGAGCAGGTTTTGTTGGGTCAAATCATCTTCTAATTGTCCCTCACAAAATACAAAAACAAACATAAATTTGACTGAAAGGTACAGTACACATACAGAATATGCAGTATATCTATTGCATTTGCAACAGATATTTGGCACAAACATTTAACATGAAAAACTGACTGACTTCAGAAAGGCTTAACGATAGGCCCCTGACAGTGGTTCTGAGGATCTGCTGTTGACTCTTCTTCTGCATGTGTAAAGTAAATATGTGATTGTGTTGAACATACTGCTTGGTTTTCCATTCGTGCAAAGATGACGTTGAGCATTTGTGTGAGCGTGGCCTTGGCGGTGGTCTGGTTGATGAGGTTTTTGCTGGCCAGGTAGATGTTGTAGCAGGTCCGCACAGCCTGCAGGACAGTCCCCTCATGGATCTCTATGTGCTGAGAGGTGACCGCTGTCAACAAGGCCTGGACACAAGACCCACAACTTGAGACTGAGCCACTATATATACTTAAATACAATAATAATATTAATATTCTACATTGTCTTTCTTTTCTTCACAATAACCATAAAAAACAGACATTTGGCCATTTATTACAATTGTTATGATGGAACCGAACCCAATCCTTTCAAGAAAAATATATAATTATTATTATAAAAACAATTGTGAGTAAAGATTGCATCTGATATAAATACAAGCCTCACCTTGATGATCTGGAGTTGCACCCCTTCATCGGTCTGAGGGCCCTGGAAGCAGGCGCAGATGGTTTCGATGATGCGGTCGATGAGCTTCTTGCCCGGGGCGGTGCTGTCGGGGGCATTGCCAGTCAGGTGGCCGTATGCGATCAGCTTCTACACAAGCAAAACAAAACAGAGCAGAAGCAAAAGTCGTATTATAATATAGCCATGTTGTGACATCTTTGCCCAGTGACCTTTTGACCCACTGACTAAAACACTGGAGGGTGTGTAGTACGACTCTGCACTGACCTGTAAACAGTCTAGCGAGGTGATGACAATGCGGGGACATTTGGACTGACATGCCAGCTCGAACGGCAAGAAGTACTTGTCGGCCTCGATGAAGTTGGTCTTGGATTTGATCGGGGGTAAAGTGCTGGAGCCTGATTTGTTGTCTCCACTGGGCGGACTAGGGAAGAAATACAGAGTTATGAATGGCAACCCCAAACAAACCCCAAAACAGGGGACTGAAAATAGGAGACGCATAGTTTAGAGTTGGGCTAACACACTATTATTTTAAATAGGTCGACTAGTCAATTATATATATATATTTTTTTTTTGAAAAATAAGGTACATGTGGGCTTCTTCATGAAAAATATTTACAAGCCAAGTGAGTAAATACATCTTCACCCAATTTAATATAGCAGCGAAATGGTACATGTAGAGTCTGTTTATACTCAAGATGATTATTAAAATAGTTAACAGTTATTTTCAGTAGTTGATCATTCAAAAATGTCCCAATTAATAATTTCAGCCCTAAGTACTCACTCTGCTTTTAATACAGAAGAAGTATGACTAACACATGAATAGCTTGTGCTCAGAGCTACATATTACACCAACACACACAACAACATTTTGCTGAAGGCTTCGTTTAAAATGAGATTTTCTCTAGCCATGTTTCTAAAGGCAAATAACACCACATTTTATGACACTGGATTAAACATATTGCCTGGACACTTCAAAAGTTGTATTTGATCTGTCCTTGGAGGCTTAGTAATCCCAGAAATGTGCTATTTAAAACCCAGACTTGATGCATCCCCGCTGACAAAGCCTCTTCAACAAATCATAAAAACAAACTCATATTAAGCCGTTTTAAGCTTACAGTCAGAGCAGAGGTGGACCATTGATTTTAGTAGACATGTAGCAGCATCCCTAACCACACCCAAACTGCGCTGGGATGAGACAGAGATGGGAGCGTGGAGGGGGGAGGGGGGAGGAGAAGAAGGGAGGGACACACGCTCTCACACAGAAAGGGAGAGGTTTCATTGTTTATGTCTTGGCAATAGAAAGGCATGACTTCAGCTTTTTCAAGGGGACGACCTCAATGCCAGATAAACACAGCATAAGGCAGCTATGTATGAGAAAATGGGAGCCAAGATGGAAGCATGCCATGCAATCGTTTGAACATGAAAAGATGAAAATACACTAGGGAGGAATGATGATACAAGATACATTTATTGTATTTAAGATGACAAGATTTGTGTCGTGATTGAGCTGATCTGTATTCTTGTACAGTGGTCGTGTCCATTGTGTTAAAAGTCTACAGGGAGCACTGATCGGCCCATCCTCCACTCACTGTTTAAGCAGCTTATTATCATGATATGCAGATTCACTTACATGAGGTCTCAAATGTAGTAAATTAATAATGACATCAGCACAATTTTAATGGAGGCTGGCAATTAAAACAAGATTTGGGGGTAGTTAATTTTTAAATAATAAAAAATATATACAGAAACACAACAAGGACAATGGCTATGTACTGGTGTATTATAGAATTATGCCTTTTCCTGTTTGTAATTGTAAATGTACGTGTGTACATGTGCCATTTAACATTTAACAAAGCACAACGGATTTGTCTATAAAGAAAAGATGGAAGCTCTCAAGAATTTCCTGTTTCATTGTCCCTTGTGTTAACAGCTGCGATTCAGAGGCAGTGCACAGTTCCAAATATTTCTTACTAGAAGTACATCATTTTAATTTTCTTTTAAAATGCTTCCAAAGATACTGTAAAAGGTGCGTAATATATAATGTCAGAATGTCAAGATTATTTGGTTTGTCATTATTTTTGTACCACATTAACTTTACTTTATTATTCAGAAAGTTTGTTTTTATAAAGTTGTTCCCATACTAGAAGAATAAAAAAAGACATTGAATAGGACAATGTAGAGAAGTAAAGAAATTCACTGTTGTTTGGTCATGACAACTCTAATCGTAAATAGATACTTTGCCTCATGCTGGGGGGATCTACACATGTCTATGGCGCAATGTTCAGCAGTTAGCTTCTTACTAAAACACTAGCCAAAAGTTTTAAAATAGTCTGACAAATACAAAATGGATTTAAACAACAGATTTTCAGGAGCTTCTGATCAAAACGAGCATCCATGGTCCCATTTAGATGTTTTATTTTAAAAAAAAGTGAGAATGACTAACTAAAAAATGATAAGTTAATGCTAGCTAGCTTGTTACAGTAATGTTATTTGAGAGGGACTTGTTTTACAGCACAAATCAGATCACCTGCTCTAGTTTCAGCTAAATCAGTTCTTTCTGGACAGAGTGTGCCAACACAAAGCTCAGATTAAAATCTAACTTGAGTGACAGAGCTTCAGACAGAGCAGAGCCTACAGTTAGCATTTCCACACTATCAGTGATCATAAAATGCCACATAATTGCCACACTAAAATGTTCTATTTTGACATCCCCTTTCTACTCATAATAAGAATGCTGTAGAGTAAATTACATTTTATGGCCAATTCTATATTAAAATGCATAAGGTGTTTTATTATTACTATTGCCTAGACAAAACCTCGTTATTTCTAGCAGTACTCAAGTTGAATGTAAAATCTTCAGCTGGGGTTCAAAATACTTTTTAGTCCCTAACAATCTTTGATCTAAAAGTTTCCAGCTTTTGAGTGTGAAACGGGTCAAGCTAATTTGGAGAGAAATTCGGCAAGGTAGAAAAAGAAATAATAGCTTTGTTTGCTAGCTTAAAAGTTAAAATGAGACAGCAGGAAGAAGATGAGGAAGCAGTGCACTCAAAGCACGTATTACTGTGAGCCTGGAGTTTCTTAGCAGCAAATACATTAGCAACAGCAATTTCAGGCAGAGCATTAAACAGTACTTTGTGACACAAAAAACAGAAAAATAAAGTAACAGTAGTAAAATACACACACTCTCATAGTTTTAAATAATCATATCGTTCTTACCTCAATTTTTCGGATTCCTCTTTGATTTCCTCTGAAACAAAAAAGAAGGGAGAGATTACATTTAATTAGTATTGCGATGAGTCTTGAGAATGTTGAATATGCTGTATTTTATTCTGCTAATGACACCGCAGGGACTGACGCCAGATTTATAAGCCAACACAGAGGATTATGACACTTTTATGAAGGACATTTTTCTCAGGAAATGGCCCACGAGCAAAACGTTTTATCTGTCACATTAAAAGGCTCTGCAGCTGCGATGAGAACCGGCCTCTATACATCTAAAACAATGGGTATATTATTACACAAGAAGATTGAAATGGAAGGAGAATCCATGTTTAAGGTAATAACATATGCTCCTGCTGGTTTAAAAAAAACACAACTGCACTTAGCTGTCAGTGGACACACATCACAGAGGGCCCTTTCAGGTATATTGCAAATGGGGATGCCAAGATAAATCATTTAATCAGTACATGAATGTTCAGGTTGAAATATCATTTTGAGAACTAATTATATAAAAATTAAATGAAAATTAAATGTGCTTTTTGGTGGTTTATGAAAGTTTTATTTGAAAAGGGCCCATATTACTCTACTTTTCCTCATCACAAAAATACCTGGAGTTGTGTTTGTTTCATTCACACAATTTTAAACACACACAACCTGCATATTTAGGCTTTGTTCTTCTCTCAGACAGAAAACACACTGTGCACCTGGTGATGTCATGTGGTAACACAGGAAGTGCTCCACTGTGTTTTTAAACTCCATACACTTTCACTAGAATAATTTCAGCCCTGGAATTGCGATCTTTATACAACTAAAAGTAAAAGGAAGCTGTTAACTTGAAAACAACCACTTCATGACATCACAAGGTGGGACAGAGCATTTTGAGTTTTGGAGAATTTGACAGAATAATAATAAAGGGTGACTGAAACATACATAACATAAACAAAACATAACTCCGGGCATGTTTCTGAGGAGAGTTAATTTTGTATAATATAGCTGTTTGATCATGCTTTGAGAAAAATATATGTTTCTTCTCACATTCACACTAATCATACACTAAAATAAATATTGTGGCATCCTTTATTGCTAAGTTGCTTTAGACCTGGCAACCCAAAGTGAAGTACATTTGTATCAAGGAAAATGTTTTTGTAAATTATGTGAAATAAAAACACTAACATTGTCATCAGTCAAATCATTTCAAAATTATGACTTCATATGTGAGAACACAGTTTGGTGATGTTTATGAAAAATGGTCAGTTCTGAGTGGTCATTTTCGTACTTATATCCTATAGGGACTTCACCACTGTATCGCCTTAACTTCCATCCAGAGAACCATCATTCACTGCAGGCTAATATTCCCTGTTTATTTCACAGATCTCCGGGCATGAAAGCAGTTGTATGAACTTGCTGAGAGCTGGCACAGTTGAGAGAGGAAGAGAGTGTGACAGACTCAGAAGGAGGGATGACAGAAAGAGAGACAGAAATAGAGCAAGGAGAAGGCGAGAGGGAGGGAGAGAGAGCAGAATTTGTACTAGGCGTTTAAAAGCAGTCTTGAGTGAGAGAGCTGACTGCTATAGTTGGGGAAAACCCACTAAAAGCAATGACAGCTCAATTATTTCACCACTGGAAGGCTCAAAGTAATGCACTCAGAGAGAATATTTAACACTTTATACTCAGTGGAGGTATTACAGGACTGGTTTAGGACTATTTTATTTATGTAAACCAGGCAGTACCGGACACATTTAACTGTAGCTAAGTCTGAGTCTTTTTGGTGAACTGCATAAAGTTCAAAAAACAAGGAAGGACAAAAAATTGTAGTTACAGTTATGCTAACTGGTTATGCTGGTTATGCTAACTGCTGATGACATGATAGCCTAATGGAGCATTTGAGCCACAGGGGTTGTGGGTTTGATTTTCATTTGCATGTTCTCCCGACGTTTGATAAGTTGTAATAAGTTCCTCCATCAATCCTAAACTCCAGCTGAGGGAGGAGGCAAATACAAAGGACAGATTTCCCTACAATAAGCAATTGTGGGTACCAATTTCAATATGTTTATTTAGGAGACAAAGAAATGAAAATATGTATAATATGATGTTATATTAAGTCTGAGTCAGTACAAATGCGTAATGGCTAAGACTATGGTAAAAACAGAAAATCCTTTTTGTTTCATTATAGGTAGACAATTTGTATGCTATTAGGGCTGCACAATATTTTTTTTAATTTTTTAATTAAATTTTTTATTTTACCTTTATTTAACAAGGAGGTCCCATTGAGATTCAGAATCTATTTTTCAAGACAGACCTGGCCAAGGTAGCAGCCATCACAATCAATATAAAATCACAAAGTATCACAGTATAAAACCATTTGCATTTCTCAAGAAAAACATAAGTTTCAGTCACCACACATTAATATATGGCTAAACATGGCCAATATAAGTATTGACACTGCAATGCTGGCTAATGTGGTAGATACTACAACTTTATGAAAACAATACATATTTATGATTTTCTATAGTTCTATTTAAATGTATATACTGTATATCACAATATTTTCCAATATTGTGCATAAAATATGGCTATGATGTTATATTTTTTCCTAATAAATCACTAGGTTGTAAGACCTTGCAGAATGCCAAATGGCACAGGAAAGAGTCTGGTCTGATCCATCTCCAGCGTGTGATGTTGAACTGAAATGCACTTTTGGTGGCTGCGGCAGGAACCAGGCCAGGATTCAAGAGGAATGAATAGAAGTGGCAGTGTGATGCAATCAGAGAGCACATCAAGCACAACGGAAAGAGAAAAAGAAAGAAAAAGAGAAAGAAGAGGAGAAACATAGGGACAGAACACAGAGGCAGATAAAGCATGTGATGGAGGAGGCCAGATGCCAATATTGAATAAAAACAATTATGTCTTTCCTCTTTACAGCACAAGATGTCTGGGCTTTTGGAGAAAATGGGAGAAGTGAACACGCAGTTTTTCAATTTGGGACTGTTTACTTTGTTCTGTATCATTAACTGAAATAGCAAAATACTACACATAAATTAATCAAGTTTCTTCTTATCACAATAGATGCCATGAAGATAAAATAGTTTGTGCAATAAACAATATCAAGATATATGTAGAGTAATGGGCTACCAGTCAAAACAAAACAATGACAATTCTATAACGCAGAAGTCCCATGTACTACACTCAATATCTACTTAATTCTTCAAATGTGTATTATATATTATATTATATATTATACTATATGGCCCAAGATATAATATAACAGGAAATAATAGTGAAAAAAAGGTAGCAAAAAACATCCTGAGGGGTGGACCTGGCTCCCGGCCTATATTGTATTAATCTGTATTAAAAAAACAAAAAAAACATTTAAATTTCAGAGTTTGATTCCAAAACCTACTGTCTAGATCATTTTGTATTGATTTGTTCTTGGTTTTCAAAGTCTTGAAAGGCACTTTCTCCAAGGGCCATACATAACTTTCCAATCTGCCCCCAGCTCTGCCCAGTGCGCCAGTCCAGAACGGACAAGCAGATTCTGAACACTTTCTTTCAAAGATGTGTGAAATTACAAACCAGCCGTGACCCCAGGCCCTGTCCCTCTTAACATTAGCCTCACGTATCGCCATCTCTGACAGTGCTGTAGCTAATATGTGTATGCTAATGCTAATGCTAGGAGACGACAGGCGGGATAGAGATGGGGTGTCACATAATTATCCCGGTGTGTCAGGGGTGTTGATGAAGAAGAGTCACGCAGGATTTGAACTAAGAAACCATAGCAACAGACATTCACAGTGGTGGATAAGGGTTTGAAGGGTACACTGGTGGGACAGGCTATATGTTACTAGATCTGACTTGGACTAAGACTTAGACAAAGAGAAACTTTACACAAGGGAAATTATTTGGAGTAGCTCACACATCACAATATTTCTTATTATAATAAGAAAGAGCAAAAATATAAATGGCAATAATAAATTCAAAATAAGTAGCACAAATAATAAGAAACTGGTTTCAAATAAGGCATAATTACATAAATGTATGTACAGGTAAAAATTATAGATAGTAATTAGAGCCCGACCGATATGGATTTTGTTGTGGCCGATATGAAACCAATATAATGGGAGTTGGCGCTGCCGATAGCGATACAATCACCGATATATTTAGTGATGTAAAAATTCACTGTAAATCTTGAATTGATTAAAAAACTTAGGTTTGGCTCTAGTGGATTCTAAATTGGGTTTATTTAGGCAACATTTATTGTTATTTTGACTCTTTACATCATATTTACATACAGTAGATTGGCCTAATGGCATTTTTGCATCACATTCTAGCTACTAGTGATGGGTATTTCAGGTTTTTTTTTTTTTTGGAGAACCGGCTCTTTTGGCTCGGCTCACTAAAGCAGCTGGCTCTTTCGGCTCCCAAGCGACTCTTGAGATTGTTTTGTTGTAAGCAGGACTAAACCAGAACTTAACCAGGACTGAGTGTCGGGACTCGGTTTCTATCTCTCTCCTGCACTCGAGCCCAAGATTAGTCCTGGTTTATTCATTTTATGCTGAACTGCAGCCAAATATGCACTTTTTTTGTATCCTATGCACACGCAGATTTCTGAAAGTTTCGTTTTGCTGCTGTCAAACTACGGGTCTACATGCGGCATGAAGAGAAAAAGTGAGAAAAAGAGAAAACACGGCTCCCAATAAGAAGCACGCTCCCGTTGCTTCGATCGCGACCGACCCATAACTCCTAGCTAGTAAACTATCGCTATTAGCCTTTAGCCGTAAATGCTGCGCACCGCGGTAGTTAATTATATGCATAAATGTGGATCATTCACACGTCTATTCACAGCTCATTTACATATCAATGCAGGTCCAGTAACAAATATACGGCCAATATAGTCACTTTACAATAGACCAATAGAAAACAGCCTGTTTATGTGCGGGAGCTACAGCAGCTAACCGCTAACAAAACCTAAACTAGCTTCAAAGTCGATGTATTTCCAACACTCACCGCTCACACAGGCTCCTCCTCACA